CAAAAACGACATACTATAGTATGACTTTTTTTATCAGTGGCTCGTAACTAGGCCACACTTGCTCCAATCTGCCCCAAACTCGACATGCCGGATCACAGTCCTGACCGGAGCACGTTTGCCCCACACCCCGCCGTGCGCGAAGGCCGACAAGCGTAGGGCGAGGACCCATCCATCGCCGCTTGCGGCTTTAATAATAGTATTATTATTCATTTGTAACTTATTTATCATCATCAAAGCCAAAAAACCCCAGCAGTCTGTCTGACAAGGCTGCAGGACTGACTGCACTGATTCAATCAACACAGACAGTTTTGACTATTTGTGTGAATACTTTTTCTTTAACGGAGTATAAATTCTTGTCAGGCTCTCAGTGATGGACTGTTTATGTCATAAACAGGTTAATAATTCAATAATGTTTCTTCTGGTTTTTTTCTTCACTTTCATTTTCAGTTCACTGAAGAACTCAGGGAACCTCTGGCTTGATGCATATCTGCATAAATGACAAACTGTATCGTCGTCACCGTACTTCAAAGGAGCCATGTTTCGCTCCTCTTTTGCATCAAAAACTGATTGTATCCGTTTAATTATACAAATCCAGTCGATAGTGTGGGAATGATATTTTCTTATTGTTGGTATTATAGTTAAGTCTTGATTTCGTTTTCAGATTTTTAGCGCTCACAGGTTTTTCCTAAACTGCCTGAGAGTCTCTTGATCAACAGTTGTGTGGTGTCATAAATACAATTGTGATAACTGATTGTTGAGTTTTTTTCTATCTTGTGATACAGTTTGCACAATGAAACATGACAATTTTGCTGGCAAATGACAAACCCCAATGTAACCGAGGGTTTATATTACTATCATTTTCTTCAAGCTTCTTCTTTGACTGCAACTCTTGTTCTGCTTTTTAGGTATACAATAAAGAAACTGTGTTGACCATTTTCTGCTCCTCTGGTGTCGTTGATCCAGTGACAAACACAAAAATTGTGCTCAAAAAAGGACGTGTTACAAAATATTTACCAAGTTTATTTTTTTTAATTGCCATCTTTTTCAACATTGCATCCCGAGATATTTACAACCCCTTAAATGTTTGTAAATCTTCATTTGATTTTTCACACCAGAACAGCATATCTCCTGCTTCTTATTCTTTCTGCAAAGTACCATGCTGCTAAAAAAAAACAAAAACACATAAATGACAGCAACTCACTGTTACTGATAATGACTTCATGCAAAATTACTGCTTGCAAAGCTTGCCAGAATGACAGAAATCTGATTATAAACTGCAAGAGTGAGTATATTAATACTTACTGCTGGTTGGCATTTACCAACCAAGATGAGACTACATATGATACCTGCTAAAAGTAACAGAGCATGTTGTATTGTTTATGTTTCCTGTAAACAGCAATATGAAAATAATTGGCTATATATATATCAGAAAATGTGTCAAACATTCTGGCACTGATTTACAAATGCAACAGCTAAGATCTACATATTTACCAAGCAATTTAGTAAACAGCTGCAATAATAACGACGAGCATGAACATCGACCGTGCTGGTCGTACAAAGCATGTACGTTACATGCATGTCGTGCACACACATCAAACTGTACATAAACTCACATGTTCCTCCTCTCAGCAGAAATCTCTTGAACAACAACATTTCATAATGAGACATTGAAAACAAAAGCGACATAATTAAGAAAACACTTGAATACATACGCGTTGCATGATACAAAATAAATATACAATTAAAAACTTATACAATATTCAGTATTTTCTACTGCAGGGTGATTAACAGTAGGTTGATTACAGAGGCTGCTGAGAGGAAGAGGTCTGGATGGGTTGTGTTGGTCAGTGGCTTCAGTCTGTGCCACCAGAGTCGATCCTCTCCTGCCTTCGCCTCATGATCTCCTGCAGCTCCGAGTCTCCACTGGCATTCTGTAAAGGAAACAACAGGGATGTCTCTTTAAATGGATAAGATAAGATAAGCTTGTCACATACACATTCATACACGGTACAATGTGCAGTGAAATATGAAGTGGACCTCTACAGATAATACTTAAAGTGTAATGTACAGAGTGGCAGCCGAGGGGTTTATGAGTATTAATGCTCTTATCTGAGTACTAGGGTTCGACTGATACGGTTTTATTCAGGGCTGATAGTGACAATTAAAAATAACTAATACTTGGATCGATATACCTTTGCAATATAAAAGAAAATCTTAGTGTCAAAATCTAGAATTACACAAACTCCTCTACAAAACTTTACTGACATTTTCTCATAAATGTATGTTTTAAAACTTTTCAACATTTATATTTCAGTGTTTATTGGCTGTTACTTGTGTTGTGTCACCAATCAGAGAGTGCAGGAGGCGGGACATAGCTCAAGATTGACTACAGATGGAGAGAAGTTCCTGCATTTCAAAGTTAGTTCATGTTATTAGGAATCAGTTTTTTAAAAAAACAAACAGTACTAATAATTAGAAAAATGTATATTATCAGATTTAATAATGGGCCAGGTTGATTTAAAGGTATTTGTAGTCTCCTTGGATTAAATGATGTGACTGATTTCACTATGATCAGTGCGTCAAAATGAAACTGTTGTTGCTCACAATTTTTTTTTTTAGTTATTGTTGAGGTTAAAAAAAATGTAAATATACAGTCTTAAAAGATGCTGTCAGCTGTCAGAGAATAAACTTCAAAACAAACACTAAATAAATTCAATAAGTGTGTAGGTTGGTTCCTAATTAACTTATAATTAGGTCGCAGGTTAACAAGCCTGTACGTGTTTAATGAGGGATCATTGTTACACCCTAAAATAATTTTAGGCCTTCAATCTTTCTGCTCCTCACTGCTTTGTCTGAGTCATGACTCACTGCTTCACCTCAGTGTACCCTTCATTTCCTCTGTGTTTGTGCTTAGTCATGTTAAGGGTCTGTTTGCTTTAGAAGCCTCATACACAAAACAGCCACGTAAACAATGTAAATCACGGGAGACGTCACAGTTAATAAATCATTTTGCATTTTCAGACGTGAGCGAGTCGCCAGGTCTATATTTGCACTCGTAGAATGAGGAGAGTCATCTTCTCCAGTGATCTGTCATTGTTAAAATGTTAAATTGACAAATGCTTTCTAGTTAGTGATGACCTAGTTTCAGTGAGCACATTCCCACTTTTTAGGCTCCAAACCATTAATTGTGTAGACTGACAGCTGACAGCAGCTTTTATAGCGGAGCATCTCCACTTGTCCTAACATGCCCAGGTAAATACTGGAAGTTGTGATTCACACAGTATCTGTTACAGGTTCTCCAATTTTCTGCAAGCTAATGCCTTTAATTATGATTTTGTTTTCCTTTTATTTTAAAGACAGATGTACATGACCCACCTCTATGAGTTCTTTCTGCACGGTGGCCTGAAAGTAGACCCGGCTGCCTTCGTCTCCACACACTGCTTTGAGCTCTTCTTTGTTCAGGGAAAACAGCTGGGCTCCAGTCAGGATCCCCAAACATTCAACAGTCCTGCAGGAAATACAGCCGGACAAATCATTCACATATCATCTTACATTTCTAACTGTAACATGGTTCCTGGTAGAGAGTATGCTGTGGTTGCTAAAACACTGTTGCTAAAACATCCAAATGGACATGTCATAACAGGAAAACCGCATGTGTCATCAATAACAACAGGATTCCTTTGAGGTGTGTCTGTTCCATCACTCGTGTGACATGAATACTGGCTCACTGGAGCATCGAACTGAGCTACCATTGATGCTATTAATTACAACTGATCACGTCCACGGTGCACAACACAACAAAGGCAGAATGAAAACAGCAGTAGTGACACATATGGATACAATAAATTAAATGAGATACGTCACTGTCGACCTAAATAATTATTAATAGGTCATCTGACAACCTAGTTGGAATACATTCTATGAAATGTCCTTAAAATGTCAGCAGCTTCATGATGCAGGATATATTTGTGTTCATGCTAACATCAGGATGCAAACACGTTGATGTTTAACAGATAATATTTGACCATTTTCATCTTGTAAGTGTCGCACGCTATTTGCAGATAAGCTCTAATCAAACTTTTACGGCAGTCCATCAAGCAGACGTCAGGTGTCTCATTCTGTGTGGTGAGATAAATCAACCGGCGCCATCCCTAACGCCACATGTATCTGTTATTGACAGCATTAACAAAGAGGCCACACAAAGAAAGCGTCTCTCTTGACATTTCAGTCAGAACTTAAAGAGCAACTTAACACCTGTTAGTGCTGCACCAGTGACCTCTCTGTCACAGGCTGCTGAAGTACACCCGTGCACGAATGCAGTAAGGTGAGAAGTTGAACCACGAGAGATCGGCAACGCCAAGATGTTTAGGGGTTTGACGTGTTGGGAGGTACTTTGGCGAGTGTTGTTGTGGTGACTTACGGTCTGGAGAAACCTTTGGAGTTGAGCCACGTGACCACCTCGGCTGGGGTTGACTCAAAACTGAGCGGTACTTGGCTGGTAGTTGACCGCTCAATATGGATTTTCCTAGTTGGCTGGTTTTTACTCGCAGTGATTTTCTTCAATAGTTCATTGTTGACCTCATCCATCACTGCAGCACAGAAACAGGATGGTATCAGACATCAGAACAAGAGCATCTATTTGCAAGAGAATATGTATTTAATTCCTAAACCAGAATTTGTTTACTCACTTTTGTCTTTGGGTCTACCTTTGTTGAAGCTGTCTCCAAGACCCCCAGACCGAGGAGGTGACGTCATGTAGCCTGTCTGCACACAGACACAAACACAAGCTTAAGTTCTTGAGAAAGCAGCCGAGGCCAATGTTATTCTAAAAAACTGGTTTGTTGCCTTTCATCTCATTTGTGATTGATGGGTTTTTGCCCAGAAGCCAAAAGACAAATATGTACGTGAGTCTTACACACCACAAAGAGTGGTTGTGTGCAGGAGCTGCTGCAGGGTGTTGGTAAACCTGCACATAGCCTGCATGCAGCCTGTATGCAGGCAGCATGAGTCTATAGGAATGCAGGATATGTCTTTCAGCGACTGTGGGAATGTGTGGAAGCTTGCTCACAAAGCTGCACCAGTGTTTAGATGATACGACTGCAAATGTTTATCCAAATGGCAAACTACAGCTGCAATGATTAGTTGTCAAGTACTAAATTAATCCCTATTTTAACTACTTTTATAAGTGATTATAAAATGAGATTGTTTTTAAGTTTAAAAAAAGTCTACATGTTCCAATTCTAGCTTCTAAAATTTTAATATTTTTCTGATTTCTTTACTCCTTTATGACAGTAAGCTAAATATCTTTGGATTGTGAACAAAACAGGACATTTGAGGACATCATGTTGAGCTTTGGGAAACACTGATCAACATTTTTTACCATTTTGTAGAACAAACAACTGATTGATGGAGATAATAATCAACAGATGAAAATAATTGTGAGTTGCAGTGCTCATGGAAACATTTTTACAGTTTTATTTTATAATAAAATAAAATTTTGTCAAAAATTCCAATATTAAATAAACTGAATTATGATGTGTACACTGTTGTTTAAACCACTATTTTATTCATCTGATTACAAATGCTGTAAAAAAAAAAAAAGAAGAAAAAAAAGAAGAAGTGATATCTGTTGTCTGTGTACAAATCGTTCTTTGCGCTCTAAACCCTGCAGCAACTATTCTGATAAACAAATTTGTCCCCAAGCAGCAATAAAGAAACCTTGAACCCTCTCAGTATTTTGTACATGTGTATGAGATTAGCTGCATTTCCCAGAATATATACTATCACTTCCTGATATTTTACCTCACCTCATACCTGAGCTTTACAGTGGCAATAAGGACTACAGCTGCAGCCACAGTAAGTAACTGAGATACTGGCAAGTGCAGTGTTGTATAAAACACACAAAGCTGAAAGAAAGACTGATTAATGTCATGTCTCACGTCCACTGAGCCTACTCTCAGTATGCAATTGCTCTATGACAAAGTACTAATTAAAATCGATGCTGCAAAAACAGAGAAAGAGTCACTACATGTTTTCAGACTAGAACACTAATTTACATATTTGTAACTTTAAAACGTAGCTGTAAGATGTGCAATCGGACTAAATTGACTCTGACTTGATTCGTCATGAGCTATTCTTCACATCAGATCAATATGTCATTGTATCAAGAACTTTTTATGGCTGTCAAATAGAAATGAATGTATAGCCTGAGAAAAAAAATCAAACTGAAAGAGTCAGGGGTAAATCGCTTAGAATAAAACTAAAGGAGAAAGAGTTCTGCTGATTTTAGATCCCTGCAGATGTGCAGTCGGTATCTTACCGGGCTTTCTGGCTCCTCAATCTTCACAACGTCCAGCATGTTAAAAGGGACGTAACCGGCCTGACCGCTGCGATTCCGTAGCTTCCACCACTGCTTGTCATCCTCTATCACCTGCAACATGCATGTCACATCTCACTCGGCAGCACTGAAAACTGCGACACGAGTCTCAGCCAGCTGACATTTTCAGCCCTATGCTCTTTTAACATTTGTTTACAGAAGATACAATCACATATAGCAGTTAAGATCTCAGCGATAAGACGTTAAACTTCATAGCAGGATGTGGAGGTTGCCTTGTCACAACATCACATCAAGATAAGTGTAAATAAAGGGCAAGAAAATATGACACTACCTCAAGGATTTCATCCTGCAGCACTGACAGCTCATTGGCATTCCGCGCTACAAAGGAGTAGCGAATTTTGGCATATTTGCGGGTTTGGGGCATCCCATTGTAAGACCTGTTGAGAAACATGGTTTCACAGCTCAACATGTTTGATGTCATGAGACAGACACAGCAAAGTGTGTGAAGGATTTAATTACTTACCCATTCGAGGAGCTTGAGGAATGAGTTCCATAATACTAAAAAAAACAAAAAACAGACAGACTTTTTTAGATCCAATTAGATTTTGAAACCTGTGGTACTTTCACAGATGGACCAAAACTCTTACGTCTTCTGGCGAGTGTCTCCTGTAATCGGGGCTGGTGGGCGACGCTAGTGGTCCAGAGGGTCCCTCGGTTTCCCACGGTGCCGTCCTGAAATACTCCACTGGCGGCTCCCAGCCGTTACGAAACCTTGGGTAATAAGGAGGACCACACTGATCCCTGGGCCACTCAGCTCTGCAAGAGGAGGAGGAGGAGTGAAGGGACGGTCAAAAGCCGACTGTTGTGCTACACGTCTGTGCAGACAGTAATAATGAACATGTACCTGGGTTTGGTCCATCCGTCTCCGAGCAGCTCAAACATGGTCATCTCTTTAGGTGTGAGATGTCCTCGTAGGAAGTCAACAGTGTCTCTAGACAGGTGAGGCGAGATGATCGAACGGGCCAGTTCAGGACTCCCACAGCTCTGCAGCACCTGTGGACACATTCATGAGTTAACAGCTGCACTGGACTACAGACTGCCACTGGTATTCAGTATTTTCTGTAAATCTAAAATCATGCAGCTCTGTATGGTTTAAAAGCTTTCAGTACTGGTACCAACAAGGTCCCTGAGCTTTAGTAGTGATACTGTTGTTTATTTTTTTAACCATAGAAAGCATTTTTTCATATCCAAACATTTTTTTTTGTCAGTTCATTACATCTAAGCACAAGTAGCGTCATTCAAAAGCCAACAGCCAGCATGTTCCCTGATTTCTTTATTTAAATTAAGAAGCAACTAATCAAAGAACAAATCAACAACACTCAACCGGAAACTGGACTGTTTTTTATGCCTAAGGCTGCAAGCAACATATTGTAGTGCTCAAAAATATTGAGCACCAAAACCCAGCCCTAGTATTGATAATAAACTCAACTACATATCTCTTTGGTTCATCCTAGCAGATTTTACAGGTGTTAACGCAATTAATACACAGTAGGCAGTATGCAAATGATTAAACACAAGCTTTCGTGGTGAAATACTGACAGCTGACTGCATCACAAATGTTTTAAAATCCTCTAAAATACAGATTGAAGTCATCTGATTTACAGAACACAGAGCATCTGGAGCCTCTGGGGTGTGGAAACTGATTGTAGAAGACAACGAGGGGTCATGGGGTCACAGCCTGAGGCTCAGGGGTTATCTCAGCCATATCCAGCAGATCCAACATGTGCAGAGATTACTGCAGCACATCGACACAGCTCTGTGTTTCCAACCAGCAGTATCGAAGGTGTGGCTGAATACTGTGGCTCGGGAAACCAACATTATGTAAGTTAGCTCCACCTGTGTCAGAGCTGAAAGCCACGTCTCTCCAGTCTGGTGAGAGTTTAGCAGAGCGGCAGTGGGTGTGGTGGCAGAAAAAGCGAAAACAATAAGAGGTATGCCGGATGGCAAAAAAATGCAAGTGCTGAACTGTTCTCACTGTGTAAATTTGAATAAGCTTGTGTGTTCCTCTCAGATGTGCCTGTGGGCTGAGCTCAGTCAACACTGACGGTATCCAGTGACACGGAGAGCTGATTTAGCGTGACATGGATTTAGATATTGTTGTTAGTCAAGAAAATCTCAGAATGATGGCATCCTTCATTCACACAAACCTGCCTGAGATCAGATCAGATTTGTAGCTCTTACCAGCTCCAGCGGGTTAAACAGGAAATGAACCAGCTCCGCCGAGTTTGGGTTCTGTATGTGCTTCTTCAGTTTGGCCTGCAGGGGGCGCAGCAACAGACACAACGTGTTAATGGGAGGAGGAGAGAGCAGCTGATGAACTGGGGAGGTTAGGAGCTGTGATATCTCACCACGAGGTTGAATGCCAGCTTCAGTTTCTGCAGGCTATCAATGAACTCTGCTTCGGAGGGGGGCTTGGCTCGCAGGGTCAACATGCCCTCTGTAAACAAGCAGAGCAACAATGACCACACGCAGACTCCAGAGTTACCCGCCGGCCACACGGACGCCTTACAGACACAAGGACACAGGTCTCACTTTCTGGCCGGGGTTCAAAACCAGGAGCCTAAACGCTTTTGTTTTCTTATCTCTAATAAAGCTTCTGCTTCTGCAACATAAATTATACAGGTACAATATTGATGAGTCAACAAAAAGTTTTACAGATAAGAGTTCACCTCGGCCAGAGAGCAACGAAAGAATGTGCTGCAGCTGAGCTTCTCAACCTGCAACTCAAAAGGTTCCAAAGTTCTCATGACCCCAGAAATCAGTTATGTATTGTGAATTTGAGTATAATTGCATTTTCAGCAGTACTGAATTTCAATTTTACACATTTTAGACATTTAATTTTACATTTAAAGGTCAACAAGTGAACTCAGATGGAACCTCGAACCTCAAAGTTGAGAAACAGATTCTCCAAGTAGAGAATTCATCACTTTTAGCACATCTCTCTGTGTCGTCAGGGACAACACACATGTCTGCTGCTTTTACTCTGTTATTACCAAATGGTTTGTGGGAAAGAAACACTTTCCGCACGTGTGTTTGTTCCTCAGCAGGCACAAATGTACAGCGTGTCTCACTTGTGTCGACAAAATAACACAGCATCACACCACTGCCAGCGTCGGGAGGTAAAACATTACTCAGCAACATTTACAGTAATATTACTACTTTGTGGAAACCGTTTTAACTCTGCGTCTTATGCCAGCCACCATGCAAAATCAAACAGAATTTTGCTGTGTTTTGGTGCGTAAAACATTCAAACAGAAATATATCAATACGTTTAAATTACAGGTGAGTATATAACACACCACATCAAAACAAATAGTAAGTAATAATATTACCTCAGTTATGAGAATTGTGTCATGAGTACTGCATTACTTAACAGAACCCCAAACTGGCCACTACTACCACACATACATCACTGGATGAGAGTCCCGGACCACAGGACACAAAGAGACACAAACATGGCGACGTGAGCAATATGAACATATTGTCACTGCATTCGTGCCACCAAAGAAGAAAGGGAGACAGACCTGCTGGTCCTTTCTTCTTATTCTTCTTACTCTTGTTGCGCTGGTTAAGCTGGGAAAAGGCCTCTGCCGCCTTTTGCACCCGCGCCACAAACAGCTCGATGTCATCCAGGGCACAGTTGAGGATTTGCTGCGGGAAGCAAATCCCGGGGTTTAGCGTGAAGAAAACAGCATTATGAAAGCAGCTGTGTAATGTAATGACGGGTGACACTCACCACATCCTTCTCAATGCGCTGGGCCAGTTTTTCGTGTGACTCCATTTCATGTTGTCCGGAAGCTCGTCCGTCTACATCCAAAAAAAAAGCTCTTGTGATTAAATGCAAATACCGAAAAATTATTCTTTTGAGAGCATGTACAGTGTTGTGTGTGTTCTCACTGTGCATGTTCACGGCTGCCACTCGTCCCTTTGGAGTCGGCGGGGGGCCCTTGGTGGCCGAGGGAGGGAGGATGGTCTCCCTGTGTCGCTTCATTTTCTCCTGGTTCATTCTAAAGGAAGAGGGGGAAGAGGAGGTATGAAGATCTTCAGCAGCTACTAGTTTACTGTCTGTGTGCGTGTGTGTGTGCGTGTGTGTGTGTGTGTGTGTGTGTATGTGTGTGTGTGTGTGTCAGTCTCACTTCAGAGTCTGAAGCCTCATCTTCTTTCCATGCCTGTTGTCCCCGAGGGCGCTGTCTATATCGGCATGAACCATTTCAGCCTGGACAGAGTGAAGACAGACACTCAAAGTCAAACTAACATACATATGAACGACTTAACAGTTTATATATCCATGTAGTTTTACTTTGAGTCATAGCACAGTGAAGGAAAAACATTCTCCCCACCTTGTTTCCCAGCAACCAATCATGAATGTGGCATCTCAAATGTAAAAATCAAAGTTTTCAAATAAAAATCTTATTGACACGACAAATACTAACTTTGCTTGTCCAAAACTTTGATTCCCTTAAGTCACATTTTTACGCAGCTTCCACCTCTCTAAAGCTTGCTTACATCTGAAATATATCCAGATGGAGAGAATATATTTAAAGCAATTTAATGTGTATTACATCTATTTGGATATTGCACATTATTGTTATACATATTGCTTCATATCATATCTATTTGTACCGGGAAAGGCAGGAAAAGAAGGATAAATATCAGAGTTATACTTCAGCTCTTTCTCAACAAGACTACAGCTGGTTTACAACATTAATAATAGTGATTATTAGTTAATTTTCTCTTTCTCTTTTCTGTTTTTCTTTATATCTTGGAATATATGAGCCACAAAGCTGTGGCTGCTGTTAAACTGGTGAGCAGCCTGCTTAGCCTTTGCTGTTGTGATGCCCTCCCTGCAGGCACTAGAAAGGTCAGCAGTGTTAACTTTTTTAAACTGCATCTAAAAACAGGCTGCTGTGATGACTCCTGGGGTCATCTCGTGTTTTGAACCGGTTCTAACGTGCATCTCTGTCTGCTCTGCAGGAGGCTGATTACTGTGATCCGGACCGGCTGCGGTGCCTGGTGTGCTTTCAGGTTACTTAAGTCCTGCCTGCAGTGTAAACACTCTCTCTGATCCTCCCATTCTGGTTTAGTTATGTTGCCTTGATTCACCCTGATGTTTTGTTCTGCACCTTACGAGACCTGCACCCACATGCTTCACTCACGCGCACACTGACTTTACTGATTTCATCACCTCTGTGTGGAGAAAATCTAATTGGATAGTTTAATTTGGTTTAATAAACTAGCCTTTGTAAACTGTTGCCCTCTGTGTGTCTCCATCTTGTTGTATTCATTGAATCAGGTCTTGACACCACAGACAGGTCTTCTGACAAAGATCTAGTGTTGTTTTAGTGTGGATTTGTCTGTATATACTGACTTGTGATGAAATCTGCGGTGCCTGCTCTTCAAAAATGCAAAGTAAATAGACTTTATTAAACAATGGTACCTATTAGTCAGTAACAGTCTACAACCAACAGACGGTGAAATCCATTATATCGACCTAATCTCAGGATTCTTAACGCTGCTATTTTATTCTTCCTTCATGTGAAATGCTGGAGGCACCACAGAAACTCAATTTTCATGTAATATATTCTTTTACTAAAGATAAAAGCAATCCAAAGGTCATTATATTGCAAACCAGTCACTCCAGTGAATGTTTATTGTCCAGTAAAATCTTTCTTTGAATGTGGCAGTCAGTCTGACTTTTTAAAGAGGCAATGTTTGTACAACAGGATACATCCTCCCTTGGGTAAATATTTCTGAACAAGGCTGCAAGGGACACATACAAGCACACAAACAGCCCTGAAATCTGAGCTCCAACAACAGCAGCTTGGATTTATGAATCACAAAGCCACATAAAACACAAAAGCCATCCGATAAAGACTGAACCAAGCCCGCAACATTTAAAGTGACACGCACCTCCACCTCGTCGCAATGGAAAAAGTGGATGTCGGGTTTGTTCTGGTCCTTGTCCTGACACACGAGCAGCAGCACTGAGGGGTAACGTGTCTGATTTACCACAGTCTGACACATCTGGATGGTGGGCAGAGGGAAGTTTTCCAACTCGTCCTGCAGGAGAACCACAGAACGATGGTTAAAGAGACAGAGGCGGAGGCAGGGAAAGAGCAAAACACTGAGTCGGCTGTGGCAGGAGTAAAATAAAATAAGGCTATGAATAGCATTCTAAAGAACATGTACAATGAAGAAAGATTATTTAAAGGAATAGCTCGACATTTTAAAATACATTTTGTTTACATTCTGAAACTACAGTCAGCTCCTGACCACTTTAATCAAGCTTTAAAATTCTATCTTTAAAGGTGTGACTTTATACTAAACTGCTTTCTAAACAAATGTATTTGTCATCAGATGCAGTAACTTTCATTTGCTTCATCTGTGTGTTGCATTCTGCTCCTGGACCTGCATGTTGGTACTTGTGTCAAGACTTTTCATTGATCTATTGCACCTTGGCTTGTGTCTCTTTTGTACATCACTGTCAACAAAAGTGTCTGCCAAATAAATGAAAATCACATTTTACTGAAACATACAAATGGCACTCCAACAACGTAAAGCCAATCTCTTAGCACCAAATCTGATCTGACATTTATCTAAAAACGAATTCCCATAACGCAGCTCCATAGCACCTCCTACCTAGTTACGTGGCCTTGTCTCTTAAATCATGAAATTAACTGTGACATATAAAATTTATCTGTTGTGCCATCAGAGACATTTACTGCAGGTTAACATGATGTCAAGGATGTGCAGACACATGGGCAGACAGATGGGTGGATTTGTACCTGTGTTTCACAATCCAGCAGCCTGACCGCCTTGTCGGTGACCTGCAGGAGCATCTCCTGGGTCCAGACTTTTCCTTTTGACTCCAAGAGAACTAGCTTCTTGATTGCGTCATCCACCGTGATAATGGACTCTGTCTTGTCCATGATGAACGTGGACAGATGCTGAGGAGAAGACAGCGGTTAGTTGGTGACTATGATCTGGAGTTAACTACCAACAAACGATTGTGTGGAAAGTAACAAGGGTGTGTTTTGCAAAGCGACTGGGTCTGATTTCTCACATTTAGTTAGATTTTGCTAGCTAACTTAGCTTAACTTAACTAAATAGTTTGACACTTTGGGACTTGATGTCATGTTTATTTAGGAGTGGGCCTTTGTGCTTTCCTGCCAAGAGTTGGATGAGGAGATTCAGATGTGGAGAAAGAAACTTGTGACTTTACCTGGAACTATGTGCCTGCATTTTACTTGGCTGAGAGCAGACTGAAAGTCAACCACAGCAGGAAGGTACTAAGCCAAAGAATAGTCAGGCACCACTATGTGTCATTTTTACACATCATTTTTATAGATGAGGTACAGCACAATGTGTTAATTAGTGAACCAGATAAGCTGTTTTTTGTTTCCAGTCTTTGAGATAATCCAAACTGGCTCCAGCTTTAATTTTAACACACAAACACGCCAGTGATATTGAGCTTCTTATCTAACTGAGCAAGAAAGCAAATAGTTCAGCCTTTCCTTTAACTGTGCTGTATTGACATTTAAGACAGTTTTCTTTTAGCTATTACTAGTAAAGATACAACAGAGACACATTTATCATGCTGTCTCCGGCTCACAGTGTTATTTAGCAGCATGAGTTACTGTCCTGATTTATCTGATATCGAAACTGCAGTATTGACACTGTCAAGCTTCTGCGTGTGGCTGCTGCCAGTGTGGCTGTTATCTGGGATTTCCTGGCCATGGCGCAATAATGAGGAGGCATTCAAAGGCATCCTATGCGCATGTATACGTGACAGAGTTCAGCACCATTAGCAACCTGAAGAACGTCTCTAACTAAGTCTACCCAACGTCAAGTTCCTGCTGCTGCAATCAGATCTCTGATTGTTTTATTACAGCTGCATTCCGGTAAATGAAACACAATCAAGATGAACTTGTGAGTCATCTCTGGGCAAAGAACAATGCACTATAATATTTCTATTATCTCTGTCTTGTTTTTTCAGGTTATTGACTTTTCAGAAAAACAGAAACTTAACTATTTGCAATATAGCACAAGCACAATATCTCCTTTTTGAGTCGTTTTTGGACAATTTACATTTAATTAAATTAGATTTTCCAGCTTAACCCTTCATGGGGCAAGTAACCATATTTGGTAACTTCCTTGGATGTTCAATATGGCCACCCTGTGCCTGTCCATGAGGTTGAAGTTGCTGATACCACATATGGTAACTTTATTAATCTTGATTTGCAACTTTTTCCCTGTGTTTTGTTAAAGTCACAAAAGTAAAAAAAAAATATCTTGAAACATCCTTCAATAACACCCTAAGGTTGAAATTTTCATTTTCCAAGTATGTCAAGGAGTGCCCCATAAATAGTTAGTTACTAAGTTTTATAAGCAGTTATAAATATGCAATGTATCCTATTTCTATTCTTTTATGATATTGTATCTTCAATGCCTTTATGTAACTCTCCTGTCATCGGGCATGTGAACAGCTACCACAGACATTTTCAACAAGATTTTGCCTCCGTTGAAAAAGTAAATAAAAATGCAAAAACACACAACAATGGCTAACAGTACTCTCGATGAGAAGCTTAAATGTCTGAGGAAAGTCATGATGAGCTTTCTGCTTCATTTTTGTTTTTAAGATCATTTTGGCTGTGTGGATGGATTTGGCACTACATCTGGTGAACGTGTGTATTTTTGGGGGAATTCTGAAATTTTAACCTCAGCTCACATAATGCATCCACAACAGACTGTGTATGCAAACAAGTTAAACGAAGGACCTCAAAGACAAAAATGTCCTCACTGAAAACCATTAAAACTGCTGTTGTTGATCCGCCTGCCATGACAGCATGACATCATGCATTTTATGTATTAGCCATTTATTGACTTCAGAATTGTCAATTTTATCGTTTTCCATCAGATTGTGTATTCTTTCTTCATATTTGGCCTAAAGGGCTGCAAGGTGTCTCGGTGGTTAGCACCGTTGCCTCGCAGCAAGAAAGTCGCCGCTTCACGTCCCGGTGAGGACACCCAGGATCTTTCTGCGTGGAGTTTGCATGTTCTCTTCATGCAGCGTGGGTTCTCTCCGGGTTCTCCGGCTTCCTCCCACACAGTCCAAAACATGTTGAGGTTAATTGGTGATTCTAATTTGTCCGTAGGTGTGAATGTGAGTGTGCTTGATTGTCTGTCTCTAAGTGTAGCCCTGTGATAGACTGGTGACCTGTCCAGGGTGTCCCCTGCCTTCACCCTAAGTCAGCTGGGTTAGACTCCAGCCCCCCACAATCCTAATGAGGATTAATCGGTGTATAGATAATGGATGGATGGATGTTTGGCCTACTGAGCAAATACAGGCTTAATTTGCTTCTGCTGCATTGGCACTGCAGGTTATCAAATAAATGTATGCAACAAAAATGTTGTGGGGGTCTTGGCTTGACTAGGGTCATCAGGGGCTGGAGCCTATCCCAGCTGACTTAGGGTGAAGGCAGGGGACACCCTGGACAGATCGCCAGTCTATCACAGGGCTACACTTAGAGACAGAAAACCAAGCACACTCACATTCACACATACGGATAATTTAGAATCACCAATTAACCTCAACATGTTTTTGGACTGGGGGAGGAAGCCGGACCTTCTTGCTGCGAGACAACAGTGCTAACCACCAGTCCCCCAGACACCCCAATAAAAGAACAGTTTATATGAAATGACTTGGTATATATGATTAGGACTGATGTTGGTTAAAATAATTTAATTCATAAATGTTGAAAATAACACTGAAATGTGGCATTTTTTTTAAAGGTAGTTTTTGGAATAAGGACATTTTTGTTTTTAAGGTTCTGAGAGTGAGATTTCATTAAAAATCTAACACTGCATAAAAAATAATAATGCATTAAAATCAATGTTTATGCTAATTATTGACACATTCCAGCCTGTGATTATCAAAAAAAAAAATTTCCACTTCGCATTTATTAGCTAAAAAATTATACATTTTTGTGTGATTTTTTTATTTAAAAAAAATAAAAAAAAATCATAAAAAAACAACTGCATTATCATTTTTAAAAACTTGCCATTTAATGTATAATTTCTATAAGAAAATTTGGTATTCATGATCAGGACTGATATTGGTTAGGATACTTTTGTCATTAAAAGTGGAAAATAATGTTCATATATGACATTTTTAAGGCTCGAGTGAAAAGCGTTTTAACCTAAGTAATAAACTAAGGTAGTGTGTTACAGCACCTCTCACATGAGTCCGTCTTCTACCATAAAACCATCAAATGAATACACAGTGTCAAATCTTTTTAAGTTTTCCATATGATCTGCTTTATTTATAAAAGCTTTCAAAACACCAACATTAAACCCAAAGTATGAAAACACAAAGAAATGTAGATTTTTACCTCGACGTGGTACTGCGACGTCTCGTGCATGATAAAATTGGAGTTGGAGTACTTTTTCCGCTGTTCTGTTGACAAGAGCACAAAAATATTACAAATTAAAATCTCCTTTAGTCCAGCCTGTGATTTTTCTGTATATTCTTTTGTATAAACATCCGCAGTAACACTGACCTAAACTCCACATGTTGCCCCTTTCAGCTGAGTGAACAGATGAAGGGATATACTAATGTGCAAGCGATAAAAACCAGCAGGGCAATAAGGAAGCGACAAGGACACGTCATGTGTGTATGTTTTTTTTCTCCACCGTCGATCCCACAATCAGCTGTACAGTCAAGAAATCACATATATATTTCACGTATACCAAGATAACAGTAGATTTCATGACATACTTAATAGTGAAGCAGTAAAACCACAGAGGAAAGTGATATCGGGGAAGTTAATTATTAAATCTTATATATAAAGAATGCACTTGCCCTGGTACACATTGTAGCATGTTGGCCAAGCTGGCATGAAAAATACAGGGCACAATCAGCGGCAGAGATTTACTGCAGGGTCAAAGACCAGTGGCAGCAAAGTGCGCACTTCCTCATCTGTGGCATTTTAAGTCCCAGTTATGGAAATGCTGTAAAGTCAGCAGTAAATACAGCTGCTAAACTTTAAAGACCTTTAGTAGTGAGTCAGGTGAAATTATATTTTCAAATAAAAATTATATATATATATATAAATTGCCACCATTAATTGAACAGCTTTTAAAAGGTAAATATAACAAATGGCACCTGCACACTAGGCAGCAAAGGACAAAGATCTCCTTTAGACATATGCTAAGACATAGAGTTACTCTAATTTATGTTTCATGTTGTTTTAAGAATGAAATCTTAACTCTCTCCCTTATTAATAGACCCAGAATCTATTCTGTCTGTTTCAAGATCACACATTACAGCTGCTAACTGGACCACAACTGGTTTTCACCTCCTCAACTAGCACGATTTTTGACATATGATGATTTTTGTCATATGAATCTATCACAAAATCAGCCTCATATGTTCATTTCTTCAAATCAGATTGAAGGTGAGAACAAAGAAATCTCCCCCTTCAGCAACCAGTGAATTAAATTTCCTGACAAACCTTTGTATAATCAAAGGGAGCGTCTCTGTGGGTTCATCATTCTATCATTGTTTTCCTAAAGTCATTTTCAATAATGTTGTGATAAAGTTATAAATTAAGGACGGCACCTTGCGTGTCGTTGTACTCGTTACAATGACAATAAAAGAAATCTGAATCTGAATCTAAAGGAGTTTTAATTTTTAAGAAAGACTTTAATTGCATTAAAAAAAAAAAAAGAATAACAATAATAAAAGTTTCAAACCAATGAAACTGAAAATGCAGACATTTTCAGTCAAACACTGCAGCTCACAGCAGCATTGTTCATGGCAGCACTGTGCTGCTGGCTGAGGTCATTGTTTTTAAACAGGCCAATGTGTGCCAGTGTGCTCATTGACCTATTTACCAGGTGAATAGTCGGCAGGTAACAATTACGCTTAAATGACAGTATGTTCCTATTAACTCCTCTGCTAGAGCTCATATCAGGTCTCTTTCTGTCCCACACCCAAAAGAGTCAACATTATGATGCCGCACAGGTTTTCTTTTTATACAGACACACTTTGCTTTGTGTCCTTTTCAGCTACAGCGACACAAAAGCTGCTCTGTTTGTGCAACACTTAATAAAATGTCTACAGGGACTCCAAAGCACATTGCAATATTTGGTATTCATCGTGACAATGACAGTGCTTTATGCAGCTCATGCGTGTTCTCGCCGCTAAACAAAGATTTCTAAAAGGGGATGACTTTGTTTCCATGCAACCTCCGTCACTGTACAAATGACGCAAGCATTTGTCTTCCCTGTTCCTGCCATTTCCTCTCCGCTGATTCCTTCCTGCTCGGTTCCCCGCAGGTGAAACACAAGCGTCAGGTGTCGTTCTGAAAGTCGAGCTCGCCCCATGTCTTATTAATGACTGACTTTTATGCCAATCAATTCACAGTGCAGCAACAGCTTGCAATAAGAGCCACTTAGCAGGCAGATGGGCAGATCCTCAGGGCTCTGTAGAGTCAATGACCAGTGATAAACACGGCTCTTTGGCAGATCATCAAACCCATACATGGACCAGATCAATCAAACAATCCTAATAATGTACCGTCACATCAACCTGAGGTCTGACATTTAACCCGACTCAACCCAAACCCAACAAAGGTCACACAGGTTGACACAATCTAATAAAGCTTTTAGCATTTTTGCTCGCTTAGTTTGGTGATAAAAAGATGCAGTAATTGTAGACGCTACAATGAAAACATTGTATTGCAACATCAAAATGTGAAATCCATCCAACCACTCGTATAGTTTCAACAATGAGCAATTGTACTGGCACAAGTTCACGACCTGTCTTTTAGTTCTAACCGCAGGGTGCTCTCATAAAACAGCACCACGCTGCTGTGTCCACAAAGGTTTGACCATATGTTGCCTAGAAAATATCACATCAACACATCTAAAAGCCTGACTCCCCTCAGGGAGACACGGTCGACTGAGTTAAAAACTTCTTTCACAGAACTGAATTTCATACAACACACAGACATTCAGATAAACACCAGAGCAGCAAGAGATCAAAGTCTTTCTTTTAGATTTTCCACCTGTTGATTCATTCTCACCCGACAAAACATTTTACCTGACAGAGACATCCTCCTCAACTGGAAACTGTCTGAGAATGTTAAGAGAGCAGCCTGATGGAATAAAGTCCAGAGATGGTGAGTTCAATGTTTCCTCTTTCTGCTCTGTCACAAAGCTGCTGATAACAGATCAGGTGGGAGGACCTGTGCATCATTTGCATCACTTGTCTGTTGCAGTGCATTGTAAGGAACGATGGGGATGTTTGCATATGAGAGACTGGTCTGCTGTTAACATTCTGGATATTTATTCAGCAACAGTCCTACGTCCATCCAAATATCTAACACTGTTTATGGCTGGTACACAACACCGTCCCCTCTCTTGCCTCTCAGGTTGGACGGGACAGGCGTGCTGCTGTCACCCTGCAGTGAGAAAGTAGTGGTGACCATCTGCCACACAAGAATGAAAAACAGCACAGGCTCATCACACATGCAGTGGGATATTTCACAAAGATCACAAGAATGGGTGGATCCTGTGGCTACTTGGATGATTTATGGCTCAAAAAGGTTTCACAGACAACAAGGTGCACAGTCAGATGGTTTGGGAACATCTTGCATCCCTGTAATACCGTCATCTGCCATGTGAGGCAGTTCTAAATTTGGAACAGAGCAGCCATGCGGGAAAGCAGGTTGTTGTGTCATATCGTGGTGTTGGTTTCTATCTGGGTCTGTGATACGCTGTAAAATGTTTCACTCTCTTGGCAGCTTGGATGGAGGCGCTGGCAGGGAGCGGTGAGCTAATGTCTGAGGCGCCAAGGGAAGGACCAGAGGTGAGAGAGGACCAGAGTCCGCCTTTTCCTTTCCACTTTTCAATGTGCCTTTTATTCACCTGCAAGACTTGGGCATCCCCACCCTGTTCCAACCGCACATTAAAAACAGACACACCCTGCACAGTAACACAGTGCATTTCAGTCACACACACACACCCTCGTGCAAGTATGCAACACCTAAAATAAAATTTCGCACCACGGCATTATTATATCACTGAGTTCCACTGCAGTTACAACAGACCAGTGATGCAGTCTGACAGCATAGAACAAGTGGAGAGCTACAATAACACAAATATATCCCTCAATTCAAAGTATGCACGAAAGACTGAGAGTCATTTGCTTACATAAGAACGTGACTAAACGCACACAAAAAGCCTGATGCATCCGGGAGCTAATCCCAGCATGCAGTGCAGGCTTGGCACAGAGCTGGAAACTCAAGTTCCCTCCAGGAGCTCCGCCTCCCCTCCCATGACCCTCGGCGTCTGACGGAGGTGTCAGCCGGCTGAGCGTGACGGGGCCCCTCAGCAGGACCTTGGCCCCCTCTTATCAGCGTGTGTGCTCTGGGGAGAGGACTGTGATAATCCGGCGAGGCCGCACGGCTGCAGCAACATGCTACAGAGTGAGAGCGCTGAATTTCCTGATAAAGTCATTTGCATAGCAAATTGAATATTGCTGTGATTTGTGTCAGTAACAGTTCTGATCCGCTCGGCTTAGTTTGGAAGAGTATCAAAGGATAAGGCGGGGGAAGCATATCTCATTCATGTTTTGTTTCATCTGAAGCTGTAAATCTTTAAAAAATGGGTCACAAATGCTGCATAGTTGAAGTTTTTAAAAAGTTAACTAAAAGTAGAAAATGTGACAAAAAGTATGTGCAAATATGAGTAAATAGTGTACTTGTTGGAGTCTATTTACAGGCACAGATTCATACATGTTTAGTGTATTAATGAGCATTTAAAGCAGCACGATGGTACATGTGGGCCGACGTTCAATAAACAGAATGAAGCAACATTTCAACCAGACCAACACTGCAATTCATTCAAGTGTTTGTTATTGCGATGCGTACACAGGCAACATGTCTTCAGAGGTAAATTAACTGTTGCTTTTTGCTTTTTAATTGAATTTGTAGACATTAAGATTGATGTGAAACAGTGACAATTTTTAAAATAATGACGAACAAGTGAAGAGGTTGTCCTAGAGCTATCCCCAGACACATCAGAGTGTTCAACCTCCTAAATGATATTGTGAAGTGTAAACAGTCAACAGAAATAACAGCTGGTCTAATTACATGTTGGGTCACGAAAAGGGAAAGTGTTGAAAACAAGCCAACAATCAAACACTCCTTCCGCCACGAGTCGTGCAATTCCTCCACACACTTTCATGAAGCTTCTTACCGTAGAGGGCCTTGGCGCTGATCTTGCTGTCCGATCTGGCCACTCCACTGCAATGACAAGAAGATGATGTTGGGTTACGCTGTATGCCCTTCATCTTCTCCCCTTCACCTCTGGATGTCACAAACCCTCAGAAATTCACACACTGCCCACTTCTTATGAACACAAGTCCCCAAAAAGAAAGCAGGAGTGATAAACAGGGAGCAGACTGGCCAGCACAGGATGAGATTAGCCTGAGATTCGGAGCATATGGACCAGGGAGGGAGAGAGAGAGAGTGGAAAAGTGAGAGAGGGGAGGGAGGAGAGAGGGGGTGTCGGGCATGAAGGGAGCCAGGAGCCCAGGCAAAGCAAACAATCCTCAACAGAGCCGCTCTGTGCCCAAAGTCCCTGACCCACAGCACCTTCCACATACTGGGTTAGTGATTCCCTCCGCCTCTGTGACAGCGGCTCAGCACAGCACTATTGGCTAACACACAGAAAGGTAAATATCTGAGGGGAAGCAGCAGGAATGCGTGTGATACTCACTTGGCTTGCCTCGACGGAGGTTCCGAGACGCTCATGATTTAAGGCATCCACCTGAATAAAGACACAGAGGAGAAAGAATGGTGGTGATAATGAGAAGCTGAGAGAGGAAGGTGTTTGGTGGAGAAAACATTTCAAGCAAACATTCACTTTGCATTACACAGCAAGCCATTTTTTCCATCACGCCACATTGATGAGCCCTCATATACAGTCCATGGTGTGCAAGATGAAAAAGCTATAGGCACCTCATTGAGATTGCAGATACGCAATGCAAATTCAGAGTCGACCGAACAGGCTGTTCCTCCACTGCAGGCAGCCAGGTGCTGGGCCTGTACTGCTGGTAGTCAGGGGACTGATCTGGGACAATAGCAGACAGCCGGCTGATACGCTCTGTGTAATTAGATCCACTCTGTTGATGGCTATATCTGCATAGCTGCAATTAATTAATTTGGTTGGGCTTTACACCCAGCCATGCTAACTATCTGATAATTGGTGTGGCCTCAAAGGAGACAAAGCAACGTGGAACAAATTGCTGCATCTTAATCTGAGAGATTAAGGGGAGCAGAAAACGAGAGAACCAGACCCTTCCCACACCTTTCACTCTGAGCCCAGATACTTCAGCTTGTCTGTCAGGTACGCGCTGACGAGGTTATGCAATGTAGATCAGGTCTACAGTACACAGTGTGGCTGAACACATGCTGCCATGCAACACAACACAGTATTGTTCTGTTTGGTTTCCCTTACTAAGATTTATCACTTAATACAATGCAACTGCTGCTCTGTGTTCTATTTAAAGAGTCCCTAAGTTTTATTTATCTTGTACACATGTCCATATAATAATAAGAATCTTTTTTTATAGAGCACATATCGAAATCCAAGTTACAAAGTACTTTATAAGGGAGCGAAATAAAAACAGTCATACTATAAAATCCTCTTTTTAAAAGGCAAATTAAAAAAAAAAGAAAGGTTGATATGGTGCTAGAAAAGGTAAAATATTATTTTAAAAAAAAAAAAAAAAAAAACAGTTAAAAGGAGATTAAACTTCAAACAAAATCCAGAAAGATTTCACAATAAAAGTACATATTAAGAGTGGATGTAAAAGAAGTCACTCAGTCAGCTGACTTGATTTCTTCAAACACGTTGTTCCACAGCCTCGGGGCTCAAACTGCAAGTGTTTTGTACTGCTGCACAATGCAAAAATAATATTCAGAGTTATGGCTGGGAGGAAGGTCATGAAGTGCCTTTGAGGTAATCAGTAATTAGAGGCAAACCAGGAGCGATGCGATCGCATTCCTTGTTTCTGGTGTTTTTGTAATGATGACACGGATTCAAACTTCAGAGGTTTCATACGTAACAAACTTAAGGAGCTGATTCTGTCAACTTGCTGGTCAACACCATTGTTTTTCTTAAGAGTCTGTTTAAAGTTAGAACATATGTAGCTAAATTACTCCAATATTACAACCTTCCACTGTGGAGCTGGACGTCGTAGCTGAGCTGGTGTGCTCGAGCTGCAGCGAGTAATGGAGGACTGAATGGACAAAGAGGAAGGGACTTCATACATTTGCTCATTTAAAGCAGGCAAAGATGTAAACCTGCATCTTAGTCATTTAAGTCATGAGGGGATGTTTCAATGGAAATAAACCTAATGAACATGTAACTGATACACAGAGAGGAGTATTTAGGAGTTTAATCAAAGCCCTGAGAAGGACATTAACACTGGACTCCAAGAAGCCATGTATCGCTTTGAGAAACCGGTTCATTTTGTATTATTAATTGGTGGCGACAGATTAGGATCCTGTGTCACCAGCAAGCATTAGAAGTTTTCTGCAGCTGCAATCCAAACCAATGAAACTGAGCTTTTGTTACTGTGTGTCACAGGGTGTGATTCCTACAGCAAGTATAAATAGCTTTTATTTTCCACCAAACTGTTATGACACAGCTATTTCTGCATGACTCGGCTTTTTTCTGCTTCCTGAAGTCAAAGGTGTTTGTTTCACGTCAAACAGCTCCACACGACATATTCGCCCACTAAATACTGTTTATGATAGCTACAGGTGAAAGCTTATCTAGTACGAGATCAGAAGCATGATCGCCCCACACAGATAACCTCCACAGATCTTATGTAACAAGGAGAGCGGGGAAAGCTTAGCTTTACAACCAGGGCGATGGTTGATAAATCAAATTAAAATGTTATTTTATTGAAACGAGGCCACGACTAAAGATTACCACAACTAAATGCTATAGCAAGATGCACGCAAGCAGATATAACTAGTCGTATTTACTTTACAAAGTGGAGTCTGCTCAAAAGATAGGCTTCCTCTTTCTGTCCTTATCTCTGTGGTCATCTTCTCTCCATGCTATTGTTCACAGCTGTGGCCTGCTGCCAGGTTTCAGGAGGGAGGTGAAGCCAGAGCAGGGCAGGCCGGGTGTCATGTGTTGTCAGCCTCATGGCAAGAGGCCGCCTGCACACCTCCACTCAGCCCACTGGAAGGTGCTTATTGTTGAATAATTACAAGCCCTTATTCAGAGGTGATTACACGGCATAAGAACAATAATTACTCACAAGGAGGAAAGCAGAAGGTGGAGGCTGCTTATCTTGCTTACTCATGGAAGCTGTGTCATATTTCATTCCACCCTTTTTCAAATAATGACAATATCTGGCTGCTTTAATTTTCCCATTTGATGAAATCAGGTTGGACACGTTTCATATTCATACTGATTACTACGGCAACAAGTTATCTGAGCAGCTTAGTGAAATCAGCCCAGTGTCGTATTTTGAATTTGTATTGGTCAAATTGTTTTGTTGTTGTTTTTGGATTAAAGCTCATGGAACAGCCAAGAACAATTGAAATCCTCAAACCGATACAAGGCTTCAACCTCTGAACAGACATCAACATCTATATAAGATAAGATAGCGTAAGCATTTATTATTTCCCACATATATCGCTAAAGCATGCGTGTATTATCTCACGTAATGCAGATAAGTTAAAAAAAAGCCCTGAACTTGTTTAATACCCTATGCCTAAAACCAATGTACACTGCAACCTTGGGATTTTTGCCATGTCATGAGCTGTTTTACATAACAATAAAGAGTGATGCACGATATTGAAATGTTTGTCCGATACTGATATCTGATATTAAGATTTCTGATATCGTCAATAACTGATATTACCGATGTCGATATTCAGTTTTTGTTCACACTGAAAATGAGTAAGAATGTAAAAGCTATTCAAAAGTCCATACCAAATTAGACCACATAGTCTTCTTTGTTACGTAACAAAAGTAAAACATATTTAAACATATTTTAACATGTTTAAGGTTCAAGTCCAGGAGCATTTAAGTAAAAAAATCTGTGAAATAGCAGCAATATCAAACGTAGAAACGAAGGCACTAATGTTAGACAATCATCGGTTTTTCACATTAGCTAAATTTGTTCATCGGACCAATACCGACATATCGGACAAAACACTAACATCTGCTGATACTGATGTGGTCGCCGATATATCCTGCATCCCTAACAAAAGAGGATTAATTTGGTGCATTATTACAATAAAAATTGTACAAACGCACTGTGTAAAACACAACATCATCAACAAAATGCAAACACGCATCACAAATGCTAAATGAATAAGACAGAAAAGCACATGATCGACCATACTGATCAAGTCTGCACAAGAACTAAACCAAAGATTTAAAGCGGAAACACATTTAACGCCACATGAAAACCTTGTTGGAACAAAGCAGCCCCACGAGAGATTTTAGCCCCTTAAATAAAGCTCAAACACAATCAATATCTACATATCTTCCTGCTTTGAGTGACACAACACACGCCCCATTACACAACTGAGGCGGCATGAATCACAGCTGACAGGTTCATTATGGCGAGATAACCTCAGCATTTAAAGCACATGCTCATTAGCAGGCTCTTGTGTGAGCGGTATTTTCTTTTTAAATCACTTCAACCAGACAGTAAGGTCACATCGGTGTCACTACGGCGGCAACATTTTCTGCACTACAAAAATAGAAAATATTGACAGTGATGTCTTATGCTATGCATCTACAAAGATGTGGTTTTTTGCTATGATATGAGCAATCTGGAGTTTGCCCCATACCCCTGAATAATCTTCAAGTAAGAGATAACAGTTATCTGATTTCACGCATTTCAGGCAATGGAGTTGTTTGGCTGCTGTGTTATGAAGGCTAATGATGATGTTGCAGGTTTGTTCTGAGGGTGAGTGCATTCTCTGAATCTGAATCTGGGTGTAGAGAAGAAGCCCAAGATAAAATCAGGTCACATTTCACAGGCAGGATACCTGTTTGTTCACATGACATTCATTTGACCAGTCAAGGTCCAAACACACACACACACACACACACACACAACAACGATCTTGTGCCAGCAAAAAGGAGAAAGGCCGGGATTCTCACATTAGCAGCTTCTCTGTTTGGTTGTTAATGTGTAGCATGTTGGAGGATTATTGTTAAACCCTTCAACCTCTAATGAAGTCACATTCCTCTAACCACTCAGCTAAACACTGTAATTAAAGCTGCGGATGACATCTGATGCAAAATAATCTTTGTAACAAAACATCAATGACATTCTAAGACATTATCTGTTAGGAGTCATTTTCTAAAGATGCAGTTTTAATAAAACACGATTAGAGGCACCGACTTAGTGTTTGTGTCGCACCAAACACGTGGCCCATCTCACGTGGGATTACAAGACAACTTCACAACAATGCACATCTTCTGCTGCTGAAAGAGGAATGAGAAAAGAAAACAGAGAGAACACAAAGCCAAAGTTCCAAATGAACTGCTCACAGAAGAAAACTATCCACAGATTATCCTGATGAAAGGCTTTTCTTTTTTCTTCCAGGCCTTCATAAGGTACCTGGTTCATTTATGTGTACACTAAGTCTTGCATGTGCACCATCCACGCTTTAGAAAGTGCATAGTCTATATTATATCTTGATAAATAAAGCATTTCTGTTGCCAGTTAAGAAAACACAAACTAAACTCCTCTGCTATAACAAACCTGCTTTTCCTCCAGTTTGATCTCAGCTGTTGAGACTGACTACACACAGCACAACCCTCACATTCATTTTTGATATTAAATGCCCTCAGTTTTGGTTTATTCATATGTCATCATCTCACTGCTCTTTTGGACAAACATAGATTCTCTGAACAAACAAATGTTGAGCTCCTCCTTGAAATCCTCCACAAACCCAGAGATTGTGCACAAATCTTTTCACCAAAGATTTCTTTACCCCAAAATAAACATCTTTATTCTCGTCAGCTTGCTCTCTTCCTCATCATGTAGAGCTGCACACATCTTCCTCCCTTGTTTCCCATCCTGTGTCCAAACCGCAGCCAACTTTGGTGCGTATTTTTGCGCAAACAACAAATATCTCATAGCGCTGTTCTGCACTGATTCACACAGAGAGAACGCAAATTAATAAGATAAACTAATGAATTCCAACATGTTAACCAGCATGAAGGACTGAGCTCAGCAGAGGAGTCTCCTTAAGCTCTGAGGAAGATCACTTGAGACGATGGAAAGCTCCACTGTGGTGAGATTTGTCAAGTAAAACCACGTTTACGTAAGTTGTGTGTTCACTGTGCGGCCACGTGAACTCATTTCTACACAAACAACAGGCTTCATAAATGAACAGATGACGTAGCAAACCAATTAACAAGCAAACAGCATCTTTTTTTACGCACCACTTGAACTTACAGAGCTGTTTTCCGGACTGGATGCTCAAGTTGACCAACGTGGGCGAGTCAGCGTCTGAAACATCAGCCTTCCATCCACACCTGCAGCTGACTGACTCAGATAACTCCGCAGGTAAGTTCTGGATATCTGTGGTAAAAGTAGAACTCCAATACTGTAAACTAAACTGCACAAGGTGTCATTCAGCAAAGCGCACAGACGGTTTTTGCTGTTCTGAGAAACAGAGTCTGTGAGGAGGAGGAGGAGGAGGAGGAGACGCGGCAGCAGCAGCAGGTGAGTGATAGGTGACACTGCAGGTAACTCAAGCTGACAGGGGTGGAGCTTCTCACAGTTTAGAAGAGTTGTCAGCTTTTCCCACAGTTTGTTCTGATGGTGAAAGTTTGGATGTATTCTGGTGATTTAATTCACACATCTGTTGCAAAAAATAATTCAAATAAATGTAAAAAATAATCATCAAGGAGTGTTCTTTAAAATATAATGTGATGAAAATCCACATACAGTCGTGCTCAAATGTATTCAAACCCTTCCATTAAAGAAAAGGCAAAATTCACAGTAGTCACCGAAATAACTAGAAATTAAAAAAAGGAATAATAAATAAAAATTTGCTAAATTACAATTTAGTGAAATACGACATTGCTTTTGAATTGTGGTTGAAAAGAATAATTTAAAAAAACAAACAAACAAAAAAAAAAAACTGTCCCGGACCAAATTATTGCACTTTGCTCAAAATCCAAATACCTGTCAACAGGTGTCTGATTGGGAGTTACAGAAAACACTTAATTGCAGTGATTGGCTCAAAGGGTTGTTCAACAAAATATTAGTTTACAGGTCCCATCATGCTTGTTTGCTTGCTTTTTTATATTCCTGTTGAGCCACAATTCAAAAGCAATGTCATGATTTTCATTAAATTTTTGTTCATTATTACTTTTGTCAATTTCAACTTCTTTCAGTGACAGCTATTATTTTCCTCCCTTCATGGGAGGGTATGAATACATTTGCAGACGAGTGTATATTATATTTCTCCACCTTTTTCAGTTATGAGTGTGTGTAAAGACACAAGTTTTGGGCTGTTCTAACCTGATCCTGTTCCTCCAGTTTGATTCATTGAAACGATTTAACTGTAATTATTATAAAAAGAGCATGATGCATAATAGTGCAGCAGGAGTTTTTCTTTTTTTTCTATCTGTAATCATCTTGTGGAATTATAATCCATCTTCCTTTGAGAGAGCCTAAACCCAAAGTGGGGAACCATTGTTGTAGAACTCTAATGACCCTAAATGACCTCATGTGTGATGAACCACTACCCACATTTATAAAGCACTGTTTTCAAAAACGTACTTAACACATTTTAGGCTCTTCAGCAGTGGATTCATTTCATTTCCACTGGTTTCTCTTTGTGCTGCACAGTAGAGCGTGTTCTGCTCCAGCCTGGTTGGACTCAGCGGGGCCACTGAAAGAGGAGCAACAGTGTGGAACGCTGCCCAGGTTTCAGTGTCACTGCCTGCTAAGAATGACCACTCTTTGTCCGGTCACAGTGTGCTGTCCCCGCAAGGAAAATCAATGAGATAAGACACAGCTCTTATTCTAGGCAAATTACATAAACAAAAAGATAAATCATCAAGTTTAAACAAGCAATAAAAAAATATCAAATGTAACAGACTCCTCAGGGCCGGATTAAAAGGACAGAATAAAAACAAGGCTTCAGACACTGTGGCTCACCTTGATCGCTGTTGCTCAAGCACAGGACCTCTGAAATGTGATTTGTTTTCAAAGTGGTTACTTTGGAAACCTTGTCATTGGGTTTGATCATTAACTTTAGCTGTCGGTGGTGAAAAATCACCTGTTTGAAGAAAGCGGATTTAGAAAAGACTAATAGACCAACACTGAAACAGTGCTCCGAGTGCTGCACCACGGCTTATCTGACATTAAGTATTTAGAGTTAAAGTTTAAGCAGCTGACATGAAAAATTCATTTTTGATATGTGATATTTTCAGGCAGCAGTTGGAGCTTTGTCATGAAGTTGGTTCAAATTTGTGGTGTTCTAGTAAGGGACAGGACTGGAATATGAATTGTGCATGAAAACAGTTGTGACTAGACTGCAGACAGCACCTGAGTTATTACAGCTTTAAATGAATTAAATAAATACACTTAATGCACTTTTTATTTTAAAGACATTTGAAAATAAAATCTGTAAATGCTTGTTGTCACTGTTCAAATCTTTAGCAAAACAATTCTGCCCTCTACTGGACAAAACAGGAACAAAACTTATCAAATTTATTTTATTGAAAAATAAGCACACAAATATAGATTTTATATTTTACACATAAAAAAATAAAGAAGCTAAAAATGAAGTAAGAAATATCAAGAAATATCCGTTACTGTGTTTTTAGGATAAAGACTGTCCCTGAGAAATGAAACCATGAAGGTGCTGCATGTAGGTATATGAATATATCAGTTTGCATCTATTAATCAGTTTTTTATTGCCTTTGTGAGAATAAATTGTAAAGCAAATTTTAAAAAATAAAATAAAATAAGCCCCCCCCTCACCCAAAAAAAGAGAAAGTCTCAGCTGCCCATAACAGCTGTGGACTTATTTCCATGTAAAGGACGATGTGGAAAAACTAGGATCAACATCCGCAGGGCAGTCGATTCACTGGTTGAGTCATACAAAGCAGGGGGAGAAAAAGTTGTGCAAAAGTGAGTCAAATATAATCTGTGATCTCAAATATAGTTTATAGTTGAACTTCAATAAAAGTACAACTTTGGTTACGTCATCCTCTAACACGATGCTGCTCAGTCACATTTAGTCTTATGTAGAGCTGCAACAATTAATCGATTAGCTGTAAAGTATTGAATTAATCATAAACTGTTTTGATCATTTTTTAGTTAAAAAAAAAAAATCTTCTTTTACGGCTTCTAAAACGTGAATATTTTCTGGTTTCTTTCCTTTTCTCAGACAGTAAATTGAATATCTTTGGGTTGTAAATAATGCAGGACATTTGAAGACGTCATCGTGAAACACGAATCGACATGTTTCACAATTTTCTTCCAATATATAAACCAAACAACAATAGCTAGGAAAATGATGAACAGATTAATCAACAGTTGAAATAATCGTTAGTTGCAATGCTGGACTTGTGTATGTCACATCATGTATTGTTTCTTGCTGATGCCCAGAATGCTTAGTAGCACCTTTATATGTAACGTGATCAATAGGACGCTGACTACAGTCCACCTGCCCCTGGTGACATTAATAACAAAGGTTTTCTGAATGTTGTACAAATTTAAAAATTTGACCTCGAACACACCATTTTCTCTACATCTTAACACATTCTGTCATAAGAATAAAAATCCAAATAAACATTATTTACACTACAGACACTCCGAACTACTTTTCTTCCCATTTTGTGCTTGCAATAAGAAAATGTAGTCGAAGTGTTGGGAGTTCAGTGTTAACATACGATAAGACGAGACTTCTTCATGAATAGACGCTGAAAGACACAAAAGAGAAGATCAGTTATTGTATTAAAATGTACCTTGATTAAATATAGAACACATTTATAGAGCTCATTTTCTAACAATCAATCTCGCGAACTCGACCGTTTATCATAAATCTTCATTCCCTGTGAGTTATTCAAGGATGAGACACTTAAACAGACAATATTCATCTCGTGGGAGACTGGATTATTGTCTTCGGCTCTTTCTTGGGAGGAAAATTTGAGGATGTGACGACATCGTACAAGGTATACAGTGTCACTTGAATGAATGCCACCCATATTAATAATTCAGACAAAGTCCTAAAGGAAAGAAGGGCGTTTTTCAATCGTGAACAATGGTATGGACAAAAGGAAAGCTCAGCGCTGTCGTGGCTCACAAAACATACATATGAGATGCTAATTGCGTCAGCATATCTTGTCAATCAAAACAAATGGAGCCTAAAATGTAGGCCAGTCTCTTCTTGTGATAATGAAGCGTTTCATCTGTGTTTGACACCAGATATTGTCATTTACCAACCTGTCGATCAATTATACTGACAGGCGGCCATGTCAGAAAATGATTGTGATCTAATATAATACAATAAAAGCCTCTTCAGCTGTCACAGCTGTTAAGGATTGATATAAAACTGCTATTGTAAAAACTAATGAAAGCGGAACAGACCTGGCGAGTCGAGCCAACGTGCTGAAAGCCAGAAATCCATCTAAACCGTAGACGACGACGAGGATGCTGCTGATGATGACGTCTGCTCGCATCACGTACGTCTGCCACACCAGGAAGTAGACGGTGAGCAGGATAGTCGTCCCCGTCACCACGAGGTTGGCCAGAATATAACCCTCGCTCTCCGCCAGGTTCCCTTTCACTCCTGCAGACATGAGCAGACACACGGAGTCAAAAAAAATTCTTCTAAGTGTTTTATTATTGATGAATGTGTTCTGTTCTTATCTTAGTTATTATTTTTGTACTAAAAGCACTACAGATGGGCATAAAAGGTCTTCAGTCATGCCATATATAGGACTGCTGAGTATTTCTCAAAGCACATCACAAGTTTTTAGGTTCATATATGCACTTTTCAGCCCTCTCTGTTTCTACTTATTCCAGCACTGTAGAATGAAAAACAAGCTGCAGAGACATTAAAGTCTCCTTCAGCCACACTTCAAAGTCATACAATATTTGATTTTCCATAAATACATACCCTTGTTAGAAAGTCTGCTCTTCTGTCACTGAAAAACTCATAATCTCCACATATTTGTCATTTCAAAAGTTCAACTACCACATCCATATTGTCTCCAACATCCCTGAAACTTTCCACTTTGAGCAGAAGACCAGGAAAACAATCTTCCAGTGACAAACACACATCAGTCTGCACAATGACGGCCAAACATCCAAGAAAAGTAATACTGACCAAAACGGAGTTTTGATCGGAGAGGGACGATTACAATAAAAAATGTGTTTTTTGTATTTTTTATTATTGTGTTAGTGCTGCACAGTGAAGAGTGGCTTCAGCTCTGTTGTTGGGAAATACACCCTAAAAGACATACAATGAGAATTCATGATAGAGACATTACAAGGCAGAAGACTCGTTACTTCTATCATCTATGGAAGACTTCTGTGATGCCAAACACTGTGGTTGTATTAAAGGCCAATCATCTGCTTTGTAACAGCCGAACCAGGAAACATGCAGCCAATCATGTTGCTGCACTGATGTCACCATGCTGTGAAACTGTTTGCATGCTTATTAGTATGATATGCAGGGTGAAACTGCATTTTAACCTTTATATTCTACCAGGATCACTAAACTTGTGAAGCAGTTTTTATCAGATGTGACCAGTCATTCTCATACATGCAGTTTTTATGTCCTCTTAAATTCGCACTTATGACTCTCTCTCCATTCATTTAGATAGATACCTGGGCTTGTATCACCTGGAATAACTCCAAGGTGTCTGTCAAGTGGTGAGACTTGGCTATAAGGACTTTGATCTGATTTGATATATTATCAATACATGTTTGCTCTTTAATTAAGACACAATGAAAGTTACTTGGAATGTGAATGAAATGTCTCCCCATTTTCATTGCACCACTAATTGGTGTTATTAATTGCAACATGTACATTATTTCTATTGTAAGTTAGAGCTAAGAAGAAGCTTTGGATGCATAGTTATGATGACATGTAAGCAGCAACATACTCTTTTCTTATTTTTTTAAACATATTAGAAAGTAGGTAAATTTATAACGACAGATTTACAACATCTGTACTAACATCCACTATAAATAATGTCATGACTGTAAAGGTTAAAAAAAAAACCCTGCATTGATCCACCAAGAAAAAAAAACATTACAATATGCATAAACTGCTAAAGGTCATTTGAGATATTTTTTCAGCTTTCACAGCATTTATAAGATGCCTAAGTAGCTGCATGTAATGAAAGCCTGCTTGGATTTTTTTGTTTTCAAGCTGAGAAAACTTAATTAATCAGGGCAAAACTGATGCTCACGACAAGCTGCTCATCTCTACTACGAGTGAGAACAAATCCTAAAAGGGAAAATCCAGTTTTACTTACTGTGCACCTGCAACTTCAACTCATGTGCACAACGATATACTGCTTGACTCAGTTTTTATTCCAGCTGCTTTTGCTTTAACAATCAAATCCTCTAATGTTTCCATTATGTTATTAACTTTGCATTGCTAGTTTCCTGTTTGTGCGCCTCCTTCTTTTAGATTCTCACTCGGCTAAAATGTAAATGAGCGAATGAATAAATGAATGAAACTGGAACGTTGGTGTCGTGTGTTTTCTCACCACTGAAGAAATGCAGAAACTCCAGAGCAGCCAGGAGGAAGAGCAGGCCGACGTCGCAGAGCACAGCGTCAGCGGGATAGGACAGCAGCAGGCCTGAGGGCAGCACAAACACTCAGTGTCTACGGCTTCATCACTAAACATCTGCAGCAGTCTGACAGGTGGTGCACTCACTCTTCCTGATGATTAAACTCAGAGTGAAGAGAAAATAGAGCACAAAGTAGACTGCGGTCAGTTTCAGCAGGATCTGCAGGGGGACAGATGACAGCTGGATGTGGAGTTAAGTATCATTCATCATCATCATCATCATCATCAGAGGGAGAGTGTCTTTGTTCTGCAGCTCACTGGCAGAAATGAAAGGATACAACACCTGCAGACCTTCCTGCACACACACAAAGTTACAATCAGCACAATAAACCACAACTGCAATAACATCGAGTTTCTGTTCAACTAAATTAATAACAGCCGAATAACTTTGTTGAAGGTTTAACACAACAGCGTGTCTGCAGCAACCATAGCAACGCGTCCTCCTACCTGCTCCTGCTGTCGCCATTTTGACTTGTTGTCTTCTCTTGTGGCCACAAACATGAGGAGTCTCCACCTGCTGGATGGAAGGTGAACTGCAACCTAAGAGGACTGGAGTGTTCACGTCAAAGAAATCTGTTTCAGGCACTACTTTGTGTTTTGAAACGTTTTAATGATTTCTTGTAAATGTGTTGAAGGTATGAATATATTTAGCAGGCTTTTATATATTCAAATAGACACTTAAATTCAAATATAGTCGGTGATTCACACCTCAAACACAAAGAGGAGGCAGAGACGTGTCATTTTGAACCCTAAATTAAATGAAAGAGTTCACTATTTACTGACTGATCCATCTGTTCCATCAGACAAAGTGTAATAGGCCTTAAGAAAAATCTCTGTTTCCGTTTAAATATTTATACATATTCAACATCAAAATAAGTATAAGAGAAGTATGTTTAAGTAAATGCCTTTAGAGGGTAATTAAATCATAGCAGGCAACACCTTTGTTATCCTAAAACTGAATGAGAATCTTGGAAATCTTCCCAGACACCCTGTGGAAGAAGCCCCTGGGGTGAATCCTACCTCATAAATCAACACAAGCTTGTTACTTATGCATAAGATTTTTCTTTTTTTTAAAAAAGGTGACATTGCTCTGAATTAAATTATAATACCAATGTTGATAATACGTACAGAAATTAGTCTTAAACTGCTTTTAAAATGCTTTGACTGTTGCAGATAAATTCAAAATTAACGGACACAGGACAAAGCACAATTGGAGACAATATAACTTCACTGTCACTGATATTTAAAATACTGATGGAAAGATACTCACATCAGCAGGGTTATCTAGTTCACACTCATGAAGAATTGTAAAGAGGTATCCTCTCACAAAAATCCTGTTTTTACATATTACAATAAAAGTCTTTTTTATTTCTTTTTCAAACAAATGCAAAACCCTCCCTGTGACTCTCATGTAAACAGTATAAATATGATAATATATGTATATCCTGATAAGACAATACAAAAGCTTATTCTGCATTTTGTCTGTCATTTCTGTAGGTTTCTTCAGACCAGTAAGATAATTCCAGTGCCATTTGAAGATTAGTAAGAAAAGAACTGAAATGAAAATTGTTTTATATCTAATTGTCAGGAAGGAAATTATCTTCTTTTCCCAACTTACTTTACATTTGAGTCATATTTTTATCAAATGAGCTGACAAGTTTCTGTTTCTCCAGCACTCACCAGCTCATGGTAACATTACACCTTCCCACACCTTGCCCCACAGTGAAGCAAACTGCTCCCAGACTGTCTCTGCTTACACATAGTTCAGAATTTGCATCAGTGCTCAGTGTGTGTGATAGAGCAGGTAACTAACGAAACAGAATACATCAGCAAACAGGCAAGAAACAAACATAAGAGTGAAACTATAATCAATGCATCTTTATATTCACATGGAGCTCATGTCTGCAGAATGTGAAAGGTCGCTGAACTCAGAGAGGATTAACACCAGAACTCTGCAGTCTGCTAATACAAAGTGTCTGGATCAGTGCTTTTCTGGTCTGCAAACTCGGCTCTAATTAACACTGTTTCCAGCAGCAGCAGACAGCTGTTGTCAGCAAAAAAAAGAGAAGAAAGAAAGAAAGAAAGAAAGAAAAGCTTTGATAAACCACACCAATGTCACCTGTTTAGTTCTATGCTCCAGACAAAATTAACAATCAAGAAAACTGCAGTTATAAGACCTGACGTTTTACCTAGAAGCTGGTGGAGACCAAAGCGGAGCAAAATGCAGAGTAAATATATGATTTGACAAGTCAGTGAAATATTATTTGTTACAAATCTGCTGGATCTGGAAGCAGGTAACTGTTTGCTAAGAATGTTCAACACTTTAAGGTGATAATCAGTTCATTTAGCTTCTCTTTTTTTGGCTTGTTCAGCTGCAGCCAAGAGGCCAACACATCTGTCAGTGCAGCTTTAAATAACGGGTGATAAATGAAACACCAATTTCATGGTAAGTGGCCATGACATCAGTGCAATACAGTACACTGCACACGTAAGTAATGAGACTAATAACCTCATTCACATAGCCCATAAGGTTAGTATATCATGACACAGTTTGTCAGACATTATATTTGTCAGATGATTACTTCAGTGTATTATGACTGCAGTGTACAGGAGGACATTTCGACTTCTATTTACTCCCTGAACTTCACATGCTTTAACCCAAACATTAGCCTACATCTAATGCTATCCTTAAAATGTATAATTATTCCTGTGATGATGTGTTTACAGGAGGAGGGTCTCCACATGAGACTTTGTTAGCAGGGTTTACATCCACGCAACATGCAAGATAGCATAAGTACGCAGCGCACTGATTCACACACATACAGTTACAGAGCTATATGAGATAAGAAATACAGAATACCAAAATGAACTGCTTTAACATAGCCAGCTGTTTCATTGTCCCCCGCAGCCTCTATCTGTTTCTCTTTCTTGCTTGTCCTCTGAAACAATCTGCATAGTGTGGCTGGAAGAACGGAGGCGTTGTTTGGGGTGAATGGAGGAAGAGCAGAGGGGTGGAGGAGCTGCAGAGGGAGATGCTCCAGCTGTGGGGGAACAAGACAACACAACAGCATCTCACATGTGGGCGAGGGGGGAGGTGGGCGTCAAGGCTGCGGGGGCTGCACACAGTGGCATTGTTATAAGGGGGGGTGGGATGCAGCTGATAAGGTTGAGAGAAATGGATCATTCCCCTCAAATCCTCCCCTCGGGAAGCCTTGACACAAAACACTCCTGTTGCTGTATGCTTGTTTAAGCTGGAGACATTTTTTTTTACTTTAAAGCCCCCACAAACATATTTTAAACCCCAAAGCTGACTGTACTAAAGTTTCACTAAAAGTTTTGGAAGATTCAATGAAATGTAATAATGAGATCAAGTGTAATCTGCTGTTAAAATCGATCAAATGTTGGAAGCCCTCCTCTTCTCTGGGCTTTATGCTGTTTTAATTGTGAAAAGTGGTTTTAAAAAAGTACATTAGAGTCAAGTTAACTTAAATTTTTTCAGGCCACAAAATCAGAAACATGCCTCAGAGGCCTCTGAGCCTCTATTAGAATAATAAAAAAACCCTTGATACAGGACACCAACACACAAGAAATCCCTGTTTCAGGACAGAAAGAGACGCCATACATAATATAGACATATAGTCAGATTTGGATTTCTAAAGTTTGTCCCCACAAAATGTATTAGAAACCAAATTTAACATAAACTGCTTTGACTGAAAGCTTTATAAGATGGTTTTTTACTAGTTCAAATTTTAAAAAAAAAAAAAGAAAGAAAAGAAAAGAAAAAGAAAGAAAATTCATTTCAAATTTAAAACAATAGAAGGAATGACTGACATTAAAGATCATTTTAATTATGGACGATTTTGTGTACTAAACATATTGAAAATCTTTCCAGTGCAGAAATCTTGAAAACGCCTGATTTATTTGACAGTTTGGAACACATTTTATTTGGGATCCTGAATGACAGATATCAGCACCAAACTCCCATTAGCTCCAAACAGAAAACATTTGGTGTTTTTGCTTGAGAAATGGCAGAAATATTAAGTTGATTACAAAAACACTTGTTTTCGTTTAATCGACTGATAAATAAGTAATGTTGTAGTTTATTCAAGATAAAAATGTTAAAATCAAAATGTATGACAAATAACCATCCGCTGAACACCATGTAAACTATGCGTCCTTACATTCACTCCAAGTTGTTCAGAGCAGCAGTCTGGCTCACATCCCTCACCTGCCTCCTCTCCTCCGACTCTGCTGCTCACATGCTGTCTGAGAGGCAAACGAGGAAGAGAATCAGCTTCAGGAACTCTGGAATCTACTTTAAACAACTTTTTACGCACAGCTTTTTCTAAAACTTTCTATTTTACGCACGACTTTTTGCCATTTTCTCCAGCGACCGATGGTGAATTCTGAGAAAGTAAACCAAAGTTTATTATGACTCTTGTGGCAGCTGAAGCGAAGGTGCGTCTGAAGGGACATTTCTTAACGTTTTTCTCGTATGGATTCTTGTTGGCATTTTAATTCAAGAAAACTGCCGAGACTGTACAGTTGTGTCCTGAAGCAGAGCGTCAGTTGGAGGCGTTTGGCAATAAGGACCATCAATTCAGTGCCAAGTGCCTGAACAGGAGACACAAGTTGTGCGCAAGCGGTGGATTTATGTGAAGTGAAACCAGAAGAAAGTCGATCATAATCTGGATTCCGTGATGTATATGTGAAAGTTTCCCCCAATCCGAATTCATTTCGTTCGGACAAGGGGAGACTTTAATGGATTTTTTATGTGGGACCCGCTAGGATGGACGTGGTAGATGAAACAGAAGCGTTACAGAGATTTTTTGAAGGTAAGAACGTTTGTTTTTTTAAATATACAGCCTACATATATGTTAGACTCACTGCACACATTATAACAAGAGCAGACAGATGTGTCTTTTTACTTTAACAACCACTCTGAAAAAAATAGTTTTTTTCATGAAGACAAACGTGTTTTTTTCTGTCACCTCCAAGTTCTACTACCTGGTGTGTTGCACATACAGTGTGACCTCAGTGTCCAAAAGCCTGATTTAAACTGTCTGCACACACTAGACATGGCAGGTGGTCAACACTAAAAAAAAAAACAAATATTTGCAGTGATCTTAAATTAGTGCCTTTTAGGAGGAAGTTTGCCAAACATAATAAACTGTTAATTTTTCCGCTTTAAAATTTCCTCTTTATTGTTCCCTTTAAAAAGCAAAATTGCAAGAATTCAGGAGGGTGCGGGGAGCAAAAGTGCTGCTGATGGGTAACAGATCACATTAAACTGGGAATCCTCAGGGGGGAGAAAAAAGAGGTGGAGGAGGGTGGGGTTGAGGGTTGAAAGGGTGTAGGAATTCAAGTCAAGATAAATGGTGTGTTTTGCAAGTGTGTTGTGGCACAATGTGTGTTGGAGACATGAGCGATGTGACTTCAGGCAGTGATGCAGTTTTTCATCATCAGATTGCAAATGAACATAAACATGAGCTCAGAAAATAAGTAATTGGTGTTTCAGAACAAAAATTATGCTTCGCAGAGGAACAATGTCATTTTTTTGTGACTTTAAATCACTTCAGATTTTAGCTGGTGAACCTACTGATATACAATAAGAGCTTGATTGGTTTCTCTGGTTATAATTTACAAACCTTCTTCAGCACATTTGAGTTGAAATGTGTGACTTGAAAGCGTTGCCTGAATGGAGCTCAATTAATCACTCACAATTTTAGTATATTCACGACTTTGTGAACCTTTTTCGGTTCCTTCTGATCTACTCCTGCAGTAAGTTTCACATCTCATCCTGTGAATGAATTCATAATTCACTTTCATTAGTTTGTTATCCAATAAACAAGCGTTCCAGGAGGAGTCAGGTGCACATAAAAACAAGCACCACATAATAAGTTATCTGTGAGGACACTTTGCACTTTATTATAGTATACACAGTGCTGACTTAAATATACACAGCCATCCATGACTGTCAGAGGTTCCTCGCCATTCTGACAGGAATTTAGTGTGTTTACATTCTTGCTTTGGGAGTAAGAGACATGTTCTTACTTTGGCTTTATTTCAGCCACTCTTGCTTGGACTAAAATGTCAACTTGTCCAGGAGAAGTAGTATACAGTAGGTGCTGACTTAGATGCTTATTTTCTTAGTTTCTTTTTAGCCATTCCAAGTGATACTGACCAACTAATTATGTCTGTTCATGAATTTAAAACTTTAGGGAATCAACTTTGAATTTAAATCAATGTAAAAACTATGTATTACCACTGAGACTTTGTGTATTATATAATTAATAATAAGTTAGAATAGGTGCCTGTTCATCTTTGGCCTTTGTCTAAAACAAACACACACTCGCTCACACACACACACACACACACACACACTCAGCACACTAATGGATTTCAGCGCTGGTAAACTGTGTTTTAATAGGATTAGTGAAATATGTATACATTCACATTAATGTACATTCCTGGCATAGCCCTGGTGGCTGTTAAAACACAATGAGGTGAGACTGGTGTGTCTCTTTGGGTATTTGGCCTCTCGCTCTCTCTGACTCCATTAGAGTGACAGTGAGCAGACGGGGCGAGGAGGTGAGATAGTGCAGACTCAGGGTGGAGAGAGGCTGGCCTGTTGAGAGAAACTAAAACCACCAACCCCATCAAAACTTGACCTTCTCCTCTCTGACTCACTTTAGACAACAAACCACGGGCAGCGTGTGCTCAAACAAAGGATCGCTTGGATTTGTCGTCGTTGTGTTGGGTTGCAAGTAATGCCCCATCCAAAGTCAACCAAATACTGGATTAAATGATAAGTCATGCTGACTGTGCTACATTTTATAGGCTCAGAATGAGTAAGAACTGAAACATTTGTGTACAATCAGAATTAAAATGAACATTTCTTTCTTCGTTTTTCTGCCACTGAAATAATTGTGGATCCAGCAGTGTCATTATAAGAGTTTCTGTGAGGCTGCACTGACACTCAGCAGAGCTTTCAATGCTAAAATCAGAATTAGAACTGCAACTAGTAATTATTTTTAACAATGACAGATGTGTGACAAATTAAAGGAAAACATAAAGTGTCTTTGTATGGCATTGAACCAGCTTTACTGCTTCTTGATTCTCACTGAGTCTCTGAACTGCACTGGAGGGATAAACACAATCATTGCATAAGATGTTTTCTCATCTGGTGTTTTTATGATGCTGGTGTAGAGGGTTGTTTAACATGTCAGTCCAAAATCTCCCCCTAAGTGTTCAATTGGGATGAGATCTGCTGATTGCAAAGGTCAAAGCATATGATTATATATTTTCAAATCAAACCATTCAGCGAGTCCTTGTGGAAGGATGTATTGTCACAATGGGAGAGACTATTCCCATCAGGATGGAAGTGTTTCATTGTAGGATAAAGGTGATCACTCAGATCAACTTTGTACTGATTGATAAGTGGTCCCAAATCATCTCTGCAAAATGCCCCCGACAGCGTAACAGAACCACTGGATCCTCTAACTGTAGAGCTCAATGGTTTCTGTTTTTCCTTTGTAGCGTCAACTGTCTGTAATTGTTGATTATTTTCATTATTAAACGCTTTAATATTTATAAAAAATGTTATAGAGAGGTGTTATAATACCATCTAAAAGTAATTTAGTTTACAGACACATAAAAGAAAACCAAAAATTCTCACAAGCTGGGACCAAAGCTTTCAATGTATTTGCAGTAATTTAGGTACAAAAAGGTAACACATAATAAAGCAGTTGTTAGAATACTTGTAGGAGTAGGTATTAAATAAGAATGCAATGTAAGTGTATGATGCTGGTGGGAATTCCACTGCTTTTGCAGATATTTGATCATAAATTAAGTATTGGACAAAGTGTTTCCTGATGGTGGGACACAGTTATAAGGATCAGTCCTCTGGGCAACATGAATGTCTGTACACTTCATGTCAGTCCACCCAGTAGTTGTTAAGACGTTTGAGTTTGGGTTGACAGCAGTGAATCGATCTACTGTCGTTGCCATCCACAGAATCACAGCATTTCAAACGATCAGTTTGAAATGAGCTCATGCAGGTGAAAGATTCTGTTGTTACCTGCCGAATGTAAAACTTTGGCCTCCTCACCAGCTGAATCTAAAAGTGGATTAATCATGTTCTTCATCCATGAACAACTCATCACCTGAGTTACTACATATGAAGATTCCCATTGCTGCACTCCCACAGTAGTTGTGAATAATGGTTGAGAAGGTTGCCGTCCATCTTGTAGGACCTGTGTGAAACGGACTGAGTTTGGATGGTTCCTCTGATTTATGGCTTCGGCAGAGAATTGCTGCTTTAGGAATGTATTGTTTTTGAGCGGTCAGGCTTACTGTGCTTTCGAGTAGGTTTTATTTTTCATTGTTGGGCCTCACTCCCATCAGTGCAGAGTGCCAACTGAGTAATCCTCGGCTAGTGAATGTTGTTTATGGTTAAACTTGACTTCATGGGACTGAGTCACTTTTTTGTGGTCATGTTTAGGTGTAAAAATGGTAACACAACTGTTGCTTAGTGCGAAGAGTCAGAGATGTTTCATTTCAAATGTCCTGATGCATTTTATTATTAATTACTAGCCACAGCTGCAGGTTTCGAAATGTTGTGTGTTCAAAATGTAGTTGTTTAAAACAAAAAATCTAAATTCTGAGGGATGCCAGTGTAAGAAAGTTCTTCGTAGTCTTCTACATGTTGTTATACGTTCTATACTTTCTTTCCTGTTTTCTTTTTTCTTTCTCAGTGTCTTCTTCTCTCATTGTCTCGCCATGTCTCTGTAACTCTGTCTCGCGCCGGCCTTCGAACTCGACCTCACATTTGAAGCGTTTCATTATTTTCCAGCCTCTCTCCGTGTCCTGGTCCCAGCCTCGTTACTCCTGTAATCTTCTGAGCCAGGTCCGCCGGTGCGACCAGTGCTTGTGTGCGACAAGGACTGTGTGTGGTAGCCTGGTACAGCCCTTTCTCATGACTGGGAAATAATCCTCATTATAACACTCTCCGAGCCTTTCTCACACACACACACACACACATACACATACACAATATGCTTTTGCATTAAGGCATGCACGCGCAGACACACACACACGCACACATTTGTTAGCCTGATCTGCGACTCTCTGGTCTAGAGAAGAAAGTCTTTCAGCCCGAGCAGGGAAACATGTGAAAAATAGACAGGAATTGTTCTTCTCATCTTCTGTTTCAGGTGTTTTCATCTCAAGGACTTCAACATGCTTTGGCTACGTGCAGGTACTCTGAGCCGCTCTGTCCGCTCTGCTTCTGTCGAGATGTGATTTATTAGTCTCTATCTGATTAGGGGCTTTCTGCTCATACCGCTTCATAATCTCTGTGTCATAGTGATGCTTCTCAGTCTTTTACCAGTAACTCTGTCTCGTAAACAAAACCCAGAAGGTCCGCAAATCTCGGGCTCTGTCAGACCTGTCTAACACTTTGTAGCGATGATTCGAAACATTCTTCTTTCGTTTACTATCCGTGTCTGTGTGTGTGTTCAACTGTGCGCTGCAGGAACGGTCCCCATGTTTCTAGACTGAGCTGCATTTTCCAGAACAGCTGAGAGATTGTTTGCTTGTGGACAGTGATTGTATTGACATTGCTGGGATCCATCAGGTTATTTTTAGTGGATTTTTGTGTGTCAGCCAAATGTGGCTGAGAAAACAGAAAAATCAAGAAATCAGGCTTATGGCAATTTTAAATGAAATCCAAAAGTGTCCAGAGATAAAGGAGAAAGACTTTCGGCAGCTCTTTCTTTACTGCAGTCGACTACCAATGTACAAACTCTGCAAATGTCACTTAATGTTCAAGCTTTTCTTCTTGTTGTTGCCTCAGTATGTTCTGTATTGATGTTCACTCTTTAAAAGGTGTATCCACTGGTGCAGCCAAGTTCATTCTAGTCTAGCTGTTTGATAATCACATGGACTTTGTTCCTTCTTCGTTAAGTTAGTCTGAAAGTGTTTAATTATTAACACGCACATGTGAGCACATGCAAATCTCATTTGGAGGCAAAAATCAGGAAAGTCAAGAAATTTTGCTAAAATGTACTGTTTGTGTTCCTTCAGAGGTTTTTTTTGTATTTACTTTTTCACTATCAGTGGTGCTGATGACAATTAAGTCAAGGCAGTTTAATTTAAATTTAACTGAAATCACAAATTTGTGTCAAGGAACTTTAGAATCTGTACAGCATATGACATGAGGAGGGATCTCCCTTCTGAGACAAAGAGACATTTAAAGCAACATGGATGTACAGTATAGACAGTCAGCATGACACATCTAGAGTTTGTGAAGTCTGTGATCCATGAAGATGTCAAGCAACGGATGTAAGAGCCACATGATCTCATCCCAGAGGCAGAGACACAAAGACAACATTTTGAATAATTCTTTTTAAAAAAACATGGAAAGAAAAGGTAAAACATGCTTTTGACTGAATGATATGAGTCAAATAATGTTTAATGGGCGCTCACACACTCAGTCCTCTGTGTTACAACCAAGGCATTGAATTGGTAGCATAACACTCGCACACACACAAACAAGTGCGCGCTCACACTTGCACGCGTGTGCCTACACACACAGACACACACACTCCCCTCACAGCCCCTAATCTCTCAAAAGGCGAGTCTGTATCGAAGTTGGACTGACAATCATTTCACTGTTCGTCGTTGAACACAGCTGGACAGAGAAAAACATAGAGGACAGGGAAATTTACACATCCAGTTCACAGCGAGTTACGCTGAACTGATTCAATGATTTGGAGGTTACAGTTACTTAATTTATGTTTCTATTCTTCTTTTCCCCCTCACACAAAACACTCAAGTGCAGCCTAAACTACAACCTACCTCTTATTATTAAGTCACAACGGTGACAGTGTCTTCAAGTTGGAACAAAGATATTTTATCTGATCTCAGTGCTCATCTTCATCAGATGATGTGTTACAAGAGAAGCAGTGTGGCTGAATGTACTCAGTCTTTATATTAGTGCCGCAGAATTTGATCCCTGGTCTTGAGATGGTGTTAACGTCATGGTCTTGTGGTTTTTTTTCTCACTACACCAACTTTGTTTGTTCTGTCCAGCTCACAACTAGCCCTTGTGATCTTATCGCACCAATGAAAAAATGCAATCTGACATTTCGTGTATCGACGCTGAACCACTTGTCATATCTTTTTAATGTTTCATTCATCCCCCCACAGTGATCAATGTGACGAGCTGTGCTTTTTTTTTTTTAATCAGTTTCAACTAGTATTTATTGACATAATTTTACAAAACTCTTAGAAAAGGCCTAGCATGACCACATACAATACATGGAGATTGATAGATGGATGGAGGCTATAAATAAGATTCATTTTTGCACTTGAGTTTGCGATCATAAAATATTCTTATCTCTTGGCGCATAGCATTAACCGTTACATAAGAGTATTACTGTTGTTCCACTCCAAAATCTAACGGTTAAATATACAAAGGTTTAACATGGGCACATGAAACATCACATGCACCAATCTTTTAAAGGTTCTGTGTAAATTAAAGGAGCTAGAATTGCTACTTTTTTTTCACAATTTTACTGTTTTGACTCGCTGTCGTCATCCTCAGGGTAAAAGCTTTTTGGTGCCCAGTGAAGTAATGACAGCTATAAGGAGCTGAGCCCATTATTTCCCTCAGCTGTTGGTGGAGATGAAAACGGAACTAAAACAGTGGAAATGTTGGATTTACATTTTCCAGATGGCCACAAAAATGAATGCACAGGAATTCTAATCTATAAATAAGCAAATAGATTTGTTATATCAAGTTAAAAGTTGATGATATGTGACTGTTATGTTCATAAGTGGCCAAGAAAATGATTTATTGCAGGTTTCAGTAATTTTAATGACTTTGTTGAATGTCTTTCCTCTTGTATGCTCAAGTCAAGTCAACATATTCTCAGCTCTCATCCTGATAGCACGCACATCGCTGCTTTGGAGGTGATTATCAGAATTTAAATAAGCAAAGTATAGCTACAGTATGTTTTACTTTAACAAATAGTTGATTATACCTACAGTGTGCACATTTTTATTCCATTGATAGCCCTGAGTGAAAGACGATATAGTATCTAACTTTAAAAAAAAATAAAATAAAAACAGTTTAGGTCTTGAACTTGTGCTACTGATGACTTGAACTCAACTGTCTCTTGGACACGACGGTGGTCTTGACTGCTGCTCTGTTGCTCGTTTTCTCCTCATCATTCCATCCATGGACATTAAACTTACATTCTGCCTTTCTTGCCCCGACTCTCCTCAGCCTCCATCTATCTACCCTCCCCTCTCTATTTTTCGTTATCAGGCCTGCCAGCTTAAATTTACTGCCTCTTTGGGTGGGGTGCACATCTGGATCTTATTTAAGGGGAACCATCCTGCTTTTCTCCCCGTGCACTGGCATGTATTAAGAGACATTAACCATCTGTTTCTATCTTGTGAAAAAAAAGACAGCCAGTTTCACCCATAAAAATCAGTAACATAAGGATTTATAATGTTAAACAGTGGAGTTTGATTAGAGACGAGTGATTTGGTTTGTGGATTTAATGACTGAAAGTTACGAGATGTTAATTCTACTTTAAATATTAGTCACCAGATATTATATTGCACTAAATCTTTCTTTTTATTTCTTTTTTAAACAAACGGTGGGAATGCATACAGAGGGTTAAGCACAACGGTGACATTAACACCAGTAGGCGACGTTTATGTTGGTTCCTGATGGTGAAAGCTGAGTGAATAGTAGATGAAAAAGTAAAAGGAGAATTTTTTCCAATGCTAACACAAAAATTCCTCACATTCCCAACTGAGTAGCTGCTTAATCTATCAGAGAAAGAGTGAGTGTGTATGTGAGGTCGAGAGAAAAGGAGAAAGACTGGGGTTGCCTGCCCAGCCTCTTTATACCAGGTCCTTACCCTCTGCTTCACCCCCTTTGTGCGACTTCCCCCCTCGTCTCTCGCAGTCACTCTGTTTCCAGCATCTTTAGTTTGGGACAACCAGCGCCTGCTTTAAAGAACATCTCTCTTTATTCTGTGTACCGCAGGACATATTTATCTATACAAAGTGATTCACTCTGTTCTAAATATATGCATAAGCAAGTGCCTGTTCTACATGTTGGTGTTTTACAGATTAAGTTGGGTCATGTGTTTGGGATTTAGGAGGCTTTGGGTATCAAAGAGTGAAAATGACCCAGGGGTGAAAAAAGGAGAGAATTTGGAAATTCTTAAATTGCTTAATTACATTTATGTGCCATATCATCATAAAAAGTGTTTTTTAAAACTTGCCTTACAAAATGATAAGAAGCAGCCTTTGTTATTGTAAATAAAACTGAAGTGAGAAGAAGAAACTCGGATAACGCAATCTGTGTAGTGATTATGACATTGTGTTTTTTCTAAATAGCAGAAATGCAGCTTCAACCATGAACTCAGTGATTCCAGTGTATATGTGTAACCAGTTAGAGGCACTGAATCATCAGTGTGTCATCAGTGTGTAATGTTGATTACCACCACATCCGTAGACTGTTGGTCACTCCTGAAACATTAATCTTTAAATTCTCTGTAAGCCAATCAGTTCTTGTGTTTTACTTGATCGTCATATCTTTAACAAAATGACATGATATAGATACACTGATATAATGTAATCAACAAGTTCAATTCTTTAATACACCTTATGGTGCAACCTGTTCACATCGTTTATGAGCATTATGTTGTTAGAAGTTTTACAGGGGATTGTTACGACACCAGCTTGTGTTGAAACCAGAGCTGCTGTGGCACTGTGTGGAGCTGCTGAGAGATTCCTGTTGCTAATCCCCAGATGCTCTCCATCTCCCCTCCATGTTCCCAACCCTCCCTTCAACACAGGTCATGATATTACCAGTTCTCTGGAGCCAGCCAACATCGACACCAGTATCCTGGAAGAGTACATCAGCAAGGAGGACGATAGCACTGACATGTCAGTAGGGACTCCGAACCGACCCAGCAACGTCAAAACAACATGCACCAACCAAATCAGATCATGTCGTTACAAAGGAATTTGTTTTTCCTGATAAGGCTAATGCCTTTTTTCTTCTTCTTTTTCTCTCCCAGCTGTTTCTCAGAGGTCCACAGCACCCCAGGACCAAATTACTCATCTCCCCAGGCAGGAGTGTCCTCCTCCGGAGGGTTAGTGTGTGGTGTAAGCCCCCCTATCCCACTGCGCCAAGGAGCCCCTCCACCCGGGCCCCCGAGCTGTCAGAACGCCTACCCCCCAGGTCCATCCCTGGGCCTCCGACACAGCTACCCCTGCCTGGGACAACAACCGCAGCAGCAGCAACACCAGCAACACCAGCAGCAGCAGCAGCAGCAGCAGCAGCAGCAGCAGGGTCACGTCAAGCCTGAGCACAGGGGCCATTACGCTCCAGGGTGAGCGGCAAAGCACATGGTTGGCGGGCAAGAAGTAGAAAATGGCAATACAAAGTCAATACTCATTGTTCAAGAAATGCTCAAGATGCTCCTGGCAGCTCACACTTGAAACATGAAATCAGTTGCTGCAGAAGACAATATTTTTTGAAGCGTGCACACACACGGACACACACCCTACTACAGGACCATTGCGCAATCAATACATGATCAAGCTTCATTTGTACAAATAAAGCATTAGCTGGTCAAGAGGGGGAGGGAGACTGATAAGAGACAGAGAGAAAGAGAGTCAAATTACATCCTGCAAAAAAAGTCTGACGCACGTAATCCTGTGTAAAGAACCTCTACACGACTGTGATCCCAAAGGAGAGTTTCTCCCTTAAATATGATGGCAGCTTAGAAAATAGGAGGAATAAATAAGCCAGGGTTTCAAGCATGGTACTATTTTAAGGATACATAGAATTTTAAATGCCTGATATTTTTGTGTTTATGTAACATCTATTGCCTTCTGTTTCTTGTTTTGTTTTAGGACACTACCTGAGTCCCCTCCAGACTCCAGCTCTGAGCCGTACTCTCCTCAGCAGGTGAATGGTAAGAAATGTGTTTTGTTTTGGTCTCCATAAAAAGTAAAGTTTTATTTAGGAAAGCGTGCATGAGAGCAAGTAACCAACGAAACGGTGCTTTAATCAGTAGAAAGCACTCAAACTTTCAAAGTATTTGGACTGTAAGTGGGTCAGAGGAACTTCTCGTGTTAAGTCAATATCTGTTACTCATCACTTCAGGGTATTTGAAGAGAACATAAAGACAAGAGGAAACTCAAGTTCATTTGCAAACAAATCAATACAGGAGGACACCAGAGGAAGCTGGTGTCTGTCACTTGCTAATTTACAGCTTACATAGATCATCTGGACATATTTTATCAGCTAAATTACATTTTCTGAGCTCATTTATTTCAGCTGAAGAATGTTTGGCAGTGTTCAAGTTAAGCAGCTACAAAACTCAAAGTCGTTTCTTGGCACTCACACCTGTGTTGGTCTTGCCTATTAGTGAAAAGGTGTGGAATAGTGTTATCTGATGGGCATCCCTCCAGTTCCACACAATGGAAAATACCTTTAGCCGAGGTTGGAGGAGAGTCAAACAAACGGCAGCATGACATGCAAACCAGACAGACTGTGATCAGATGTATTCATGAGGAACAGCAGTATGTTTAAATCAGCATTATGCTCTGTTTTAGATCCTCACATGATCAGGACCATGACACCAGAGAACATGTGTCACATGACTCCGACGCCACCCCTCCCGCCACACGGCCACTATCCCAGCATGCACCGGGACATGTACCTGAAGCCTGAGCCCATGATATCGCAGTATCCTATCGGACCAGCCACGAGCGGAAGTGGAGACATGCAGCAGACGCAGATGCTCCATCAGTTGCTGCAGCATCCTCAGGGCCAAGAGTGAGTTACAAAGACACACTGGAAGGAGGGGTTGTGTTGTGCAGTTTGTACTGTAACGGAAGGAAGGAGTAAATAGTAATGTCTCTTTCTGTTTTCTCTCACAGCGGCATCCCTGTTCACCAGGCGAAGAAGAGGAAGCACTCCGACTCTCCCAACAGCACCTTGAATTCCCAAATCCTCACAGGTATCATCAAACAAGAACCAGGTAGGCAGGCATCTTTCTTTCCTTCCTCACCTCCTCTACCTGACCTCTTCTACCTCACCTCCTCTTTTCTGCCCCTGAAATCCTCACAAAGATAAAGATTTGTACAGAACAGTTGCAAACATTCCCAACCTTCGTCGGTCACACTTTAATAGCTGGTATTTCAAACTGTTTGTCGCAGGTTTAATGCAGGATGCAGACAACGCCTACCTGGACCCAAATTATCAGTGCATTAAGTGGCAGCCTCACCAGCAGAACAAGTGGACACCACTGTATGATGCCAACTGCAAAGAGCTGTGGGTGGAATTTATTTTGGCATACCTGTACATGCTGAGGTCTTTGTTTTGGAACAAAAAGCACAGAGAGCACTCCACAGAGAGTCAAAAAAAATGAAAGGAGTTTTAATTGGTTAAATGCATAATTCAACAAAGTATACAGCGGGAGTAGCAAAGGAATAGCGGGGTTGCAGAGGTCTACAAATTCCTCAGTGGTGAGCTGTGCGGGGGAGTGAACCAGCGCAGGGTTTCGGCTCAGAAAGACAACGTGAGGAGGGGGTAAAGGGAAAAATTAGTGTGCACCTACTTGTGCTTTTGCAGTGCCAAAATAAAAAAGAAGTATAGATAGGGAGGAAGGTTAGAATGAACTCACAAGACCTTTCAGATATGTTATCAAAACCACCTGGTCGACCATCACAACTTTTAGCACACCACGCCTACGTAAAAGAAGAGAGGGTTTTCATGTGTTTCAAAATAGACCAAAGTCTTTCAGAGGCTCTTAGTCCTCAGTGTTGCAAAACCTGTGGCAGAACAACCGAAGCTGAGGGGCCGAAGGAGTCCAAAGCAGTGATGCAAAGTTTACGTGACTACAGAGAAACTGCAGTGTACCGATCTCAAAAACACAAATTCAGACTTTTAGGGTTTCATAATAAATCAAAGGAATCAACGCTGTCAACTTGCAGGGTGGGACTTTCTGTTTCATTATTCGTCTTCAGAATGAGTTTGTGGTTCGAACATATATGACTGAACTACTCCAATATTACAAGTTGCTATTTTGCACAGTAGCTTCACAGTATTTAAGAAGTCGTAGGTGAGCTGGTGTGCTCAAGTTGTAACTTCTAATATGAGCAATTAACTTATATGTTAGCAAGCTGAAGGCAAGAAGAGCCTATTCAATAATAATAATAAAAAACCTTCTAAATATGTTGCTTTGAGGAACAGAGACAAGCTATCAGGGGTTTGAATCAATGGCCGGTGAAGCACTTTAACAATGAAGACGGACAGAAGGTTAATAGGTTTCAACATCTTAATAGTACTTTCCAAAATAATAGTATGCAATGACAAAATCTTCACTAAACTGTCTAAGTTAAATCCAAACGTGAATTTCTTGATAGACTTGCCCCAGCAGAATCCCCCAAAATGGAGTAAAGAGTCAATGTGCATTTTACTTACAACGAATGTGAGGTGACATGTTTCTTGTTCACAATATTCATGTGTGATCATTTCTGTACTCGTCTGCAGTCCGATGCCAACCTACCGTGTTGACGCTGACAAAGGCTTCAACTTCTCCTTGGCTGACGATGCTTTTGTGTGCCAGAAGAAGAACCACTTCCAGGTCACAGTATACATCGGCATGCTCGGGGATCCCAAATACATCAAGACAAGTGATGGACTGCAGCCCATCGATTGTTTCTATCTCAAACTCAATGGAGTAAAGGTAAGGACAACACAGTGACACATGCAGCAGTGTTGTGACTGGTTGCATTAGCTCTGCAGAGTGTTTAATGCATATGTTATCTCTCTCTTCATTGTCAGGTGGAAGCTATGAATCAGTCCATCAGTGTGGAGCAGTCACAGTCTGACCGCAGCAAGAGGCCCTTCAAGCCAGTGCTGTGAGTCTGAGCTCTTCATTAAAGTAGAACCAGTGTAAAGCTGCATCAGAAGGATTTTTTGCATTACATCATTATGATTTTTGTCTCTTCCAGCGTCACTTTGCCCCCAGAGCAGGTCACAAAGGTCACAGTGGGTCGGCTCCACTTCAGCGAGACCACAGCAAATAACATGAGGAAGAAGGGAAAACCGAATCCCGATCAGAGGTGAGAAACACGGCATCGGACACAAACATACAAAACTGGTCACATTCAAAGCTCCAATGGTCACGTCTGCCCCTGATCATTTTGCCTTTGCAGGTATTTCATGCTGGTGGTGGCGCTGCACGCACAGTCCCACAGTCAGAGCTACACTGTGGCTGCTCACGTGTCTGAGAGGATCATCGTCAGGGTAACGTCTGGCCATGTCTGTCTGCTTCCTACAACAATCATATCCCTTGTGAATGTGACACCTTTCTCTTGGTCTGCTGTACACACCTTCCTGCAACACAGTGATGTCAAAATCACTGTGTTGCTCTCAGCATTTTCTCTTCATTCCATTCTTTCCATCCCTCTCTCTGTGTGTCTGTGATCCTCATTAAACTTCAAAATACACAGTTGAGGAGAATTTAGATTATGCGACGAAGTGTATTAACGTTGTCCAGTGAAAATCATGTATCTTCCAAGTGTCAGCCTCTCATGAACGAAGAAAAAAGTATTTGCTTTGTGGTGATACATGATTTTTGCATCACCACATTAAAAAAAATAAATATATTGAGCCGAAAAATCAAGATAAGTCTCTTTAATGCATAAAGCAACATATTTCAGCAGAAAACTTGGAGATATATGGGTTTTGTTGAACAGCGATGGTTGTGTAGTTAACTGCAGAAGCTTAATTAGAAGAGATATTTGACAGCTAGATATTTATATCATTTACCTTTAATAGCCAGTTGGCCTCCAGGAAACCATAACTTACTTGACAGTTTTATTCATTTTGTGAACACTGACCAAGCTTGCTTGCTTTCTTGCAGGAGGTTAGACGATAAGAATGAAATCACACATATGTGTAGGATAAATTGATTAGCATCAAAAACAGAAGGAAATGGGTGATTATGGTTAGTCTAATCTCACAAGGTCAGATCCCCTAAATGTTTGTACTAGAAAAAAATACTGGGTTTGTATGGCATGTTGACCAACACTAGAAGGTGAAGAAAAAAGTCAGTCATCATAGGGAAGAATTAATGTAAATTAGTTTAAATATGGGAAGAAATTCATGTGTTGCCATGAAAATACCATAAATAGCTGTTTAGCCCTCTGAACCTCAAGCATATAAAGTCCTGCACCTATTTGGAAACAGTATAAACATGGCTAGAAGTAGAGAGAGCTCAAAAAACGCTATAACGCCATGAATAATTTTTTTTTTTAAAAGAAAGAAAGAAAGAAAAAAAGAAAAGACAGATGTTTAACCCTTTGCCTGCACGTGTTACCAATACTCGGTCATGTTACAGAATCAGTTTTATTTAAACATTTTTTTGCCACTTTTCATAATAAGACATGTAGAATAAGGTCATTTTTAAAATTTTCTTAAATTTGGATACACATCAAAGCTGAACAACACATCACAGCTGAGCAGTTAATAAGTTGAAAATTTGAGGATTCTTTCTATTTTTAAAGTTTCTGGTTCTGATAAATAGTGTAATTTTGGTTTCTTGAAGGTAAAAGGCCTTTTAAACTTTCTGGCAAGTTTGAGGGATTCAGGGAGTTGACAAATCAAAAAAGAGAAAAAAAAATTCAAAGCCTGGCTTGTTTTCTCACCACCACACAGCTGGTTCATCATGGCATGAGAGGGGTGCAAATGGATGGTTTTATAGTGGTCATGTGCCAAACAGTTTCTTGGGATGGGAGCAGTGTCTTCCCATTGCCTCATCAACTCTTGACAAGAAAGCAAATGAGCATGTATTCCTGAACTGTTGTTTGAAATATTGTATTTATTTTTTTAAATATATTTTCAGTTTATGCTCCTAATATCTGAATCACAGATTCTCTGTTCCCTTTTGCTTTGTTTGTTACAGGCATCCAACCCAGGCCAGTTTGAAAGTGACAACGAGGTGTTGTGGCAGCGCGGCCAACTGCCAGACTCAGTCTACCACCACGGCAGAGTCGGCATTAATACAGACAGACCGGACGAGGCCCTTGTTGTCCACGGCAACCTGAAGGTCATGGGCTCTCTGGTCCACCCGTCTGACATCAGGGCCAAAGAAAATGTCCAGGAGGTCAGGATGACACTCTGTGTGTATGAATATGGTGTGTGTGTGAGAGAGCGTGTGTTCCTAAACTGTGTTTTGTACTTGTCATCATGAATCATGTCATCCAAGCACCCATGTTCAGCGCAGTCCCCCGACTGTGCAGTTAAACTGAGCTGTCTTTTTGTTATACTTGACACACATTTTTTCATCTGCAACATGTGTATTGTCTTGTCGTGCCATCTACATGGGTGTCATTGTCATTCTGTTTGTGTGTAGGTCGACACCACAGACAATTTAAAACGGATTTCTCAGATGAGGCTCGTCCATTATCAATACAAGCCTGAGTTTGCTGCCACCGTGGGCATAGAGAACACTGCAGAGACCGGTAACACCTCCATCAATAACCTCTGTTCAAGTTTAAATCTTTGGTTCCAACATCTCATCTCTTTGTACACACTTTATCACATTGTCATCTCAATGTTTGCATATTTATCTGTCACATGCATCGTTAAGCACACTTGTCATCTATCTGTGCCTGTGTCTATGCTTTTGCTGCTCTTTTTTACTTCTGCACTTGTCATATTCCTCGTACAGGAGTGATCGCACAAGAAGTTCAACAAATCCTGCCTGAAGCAGTGAAGGAGGGGGGTGATGTTGTGTGTGCCAATGGAGAGACTATTCCCAACCTGTTAGTTGTCAACAAGGTAATGAACGCACACATGGACATACAGCGTAGTGCTCACAGACAGTGTTTAAACACGCACACTATCAGCTGATTGCTTCCTCTAATTTCAAAGGAGCGTATCTTTATGGAGAACGTCGGCGCGGTGAAGGAGCTGTGTAAGCTGACAGACAACCTGGAGACTCGTATAGATGAACTGGAGCGCTGGAGCCGCAAACTGGCCAAGCTGCGCCGCCTCGACAGCATGAAGAGCACCGTGAGCGGAGGCACGATCAGGTAAAAGAAACAAGAAGAAATGGATGCGCCTCGGATCAGGATGTCAAACATTCACAGACAGCATCTTGTATGAAGAGAGGAGACGTAATAAATTACTCTTGTTTCTCTTGTCTGTGTAGCCAATCAGGAAGCTATTTCAGCAGGACAGGGAGCGGCCCACTCAAGAAGAAGACAGTCAAACCTGGGAGCAAGGTCTGTGGTGATCCCAGTGTTTTGGTTTTTTGTTTGTTTTGTTTTTAAATGTAATAAGCTGATGAACAGCGTCGCAAACAGTTTCCCATTATTATATTACAGAGTCCGCTTCCAGATCAGGGCTGCATCAGTCAGAGGTTCATGCAGGGGACCATCCTGGCACTGGTCGTTGTCATGGCCTTCAGGTTCGAAGAGAACATGTGTTTGAGGAGGGACTGGTAGAACTAACAACTGACAAGAAACCTGCTACATCCATGCACAGTGGTGACATGTTCATGATGTGCTGTATCTTCATTTGTCCACAGTGTCATTTCCATGTCCGTCCTTTACGTGCTCACTCTTCACCACAGAGGAGACGTCACCGAGAAAGACGGGTATGTGCTTTTACTGCACAGACTATTAAGCTTTATAGTGAAATAAACCAGTTTCCACTTCTCCATTAATGTCTTTCTATATAATCTGTTCCTCCTTTCTGTAGCTATCTTCCTTCCTGTGTTCTCTACATCTCTTGGATGCCCATCTTCACTGCCACTGTAACTGTCTGTCCACCTGTCTGCCCATGGTACACGATCAACACCCATCTTTCATGCTTTATTTCAATTTCCGATCTGCTCTTTCAGTCTTATCTTTGATTGCTTAGTGGGGTGTTTCTTTTGTCCTGTCTGAAAGGAGATCATGAGTCACACACTGAAGCACTTTGAAATTCATTAGATATGAAGTGCATCATTATTTGAACTCAAGCATCCTCCTGACCTCCTTTACTGTGTCATTTCAGGTCAAGAGCTGCACTGGGATCCTCACGTAAGAGTGCATTTACTCCAATGTCCACCAGTCCTGCACCAGGTGAGTGAAAGTCTTCACGAGAATCAAACTTCACAGTTTTGAAGTTAATCAGCCCACTCAGGGCATAGTGAATATGTTTAACTTCACATGATTTTGTTTTGTCTTTGCTTTCAAACAGGTTGCTGTTCGACGACAGCCGTAAACAACCAATCAGCTACTGTTTTGACATTGAGTAACAACCAATCCACACCAGGTAATATATACATATGTATGAAATGTATATTCATAAATATCAAATGCTTTCCTATTATGTATATGTTTTTCTGTCCATATCAATTATCTTTCTTCTCAAGGTGTAAGCAGCCTGGTTCCCACACCAGGCACTATTATGAAGAAGGCCAAGTCCAGACCCATGGACAAGGATGGCCACAACAGAAACCGTCTGAGTCACACCTCAGCACCCATGTACTTTGCAAAGTCCAAAAGGCCTGTTTCTACAGACCTGGACGGTGTGGGAGCCACCAACCGTCTGCCTGGGGGGCAGCAGCCAGTGCCACGCAGACAACGCAGCCTACACACAAAGGGTAAAATCACAAACACAGCCCAGGCATGGCACTTTTTTCTCACACATAATATGCAGTATGCAAACAGAGTCAAACCATTTGTTTGACGACTGCAAACACAGCTCGTCTACGTACTGTACAAAGGAATGGTTTGGTACTTGTAATACAGCTTATTTTTTTTCTTTTTGCAGGAGGAAGGTCAGCTCCCTCTCTCACAAGTGTATATATCGTGGAGACAAACCAAGAAATCACTGCACAAAGTTGTGCAACAGCAGAGAGCTGCAGGTATATACCAAAAAGTTACTGATTTTGAGTTGAAGTTGGACAGATTATTTACATGTGATGTGAAGTGTCTCAGTAGCTAAAGCAATTTTTATAAGTTTTACAATATTTCCACTTACCTTCTGCACAATTACGGCAGGAATGATGGTATGTTGTACA